GTGGGAATGCAAATTGGTACAGCCACTATGGAAAACAGTATGGAGGTTCTTCTAAAAATTAAAAATAGAGCTACTCTATGACCTAGCACTTGCACTACTAGGAATTTATCCAAATGCTGATTCAAAGGGGCACATGCGCCCCAGTTTATAGCAGCACTATCAATAATAGCCAAATTATGGAAAGAGCCCAAATGTCCATTGACTGCTGAATGGATAAAGAAGATGTGGCATATATATTCAATGGAATATTACTTGGTGATCAAAAAGAATGAATTTTTGCCATTTGCAACAAAGTGGATGGAACTAGAATCTAAATAAGTCAGTCAAAGACAAATATCATATGATTTCACTCAAATGTGGAATTTTAGAAACAAAACATGAACATAAGGGAAGAGAAGGAAAAATAAGATAAAAACAGAGAGAGAGGTATATCATTAGAGACTTCTAAATACAGGGAACACAATGAGGGTTGCTGGAGGGGTCTTGGTTGGGGGGATGGGCTAAATGGGGGATGGGCATTAAGGAGGGTGCTTGTTGGGATGAGTGCTGAGTGTTATATGTAAATGATGAATTACTACATTCTATTCCTGAAACCATTATTACGCTATATGTTAACTAACTTGGATTTAAAGAAAATTTAAGAGAAAGAAAGAAAGAAAGAAAGAAAGAAAGGAAGGAAGAAAGAAAGAAAGAAAAAGGAAGGAAGGAAGGAAGGAAGGAAGGAAGGAAGGAAGGAAGGAAGGAAGGAAAGAAAGAAAGAAGTCACAGCCTTTAGATGGGCCTGAATTTAAATCACATCTCGGTGTCTTAATAGAAGAATAACTTTGGGAAATTAGGTCTGTTATAGCTTCAATATCCCTATCTATTGAGTTAATAATAACAGATACTTCACAGAATTATTGATGGGTCAGATGAAATAATGTTCATACAATGTCTAGAAAAAAATCAAGTCCCCAAGAAATGGTCAGCAGCAGCATCACCACTATCATCATCACTATCATAATCACCATTACCGTTACCACCATCATTATCATCATTACCATCATGATCACCATGACCATCACTACCATCACCACCATGATAATCACTTTCATTATCATCACCATCACCATCATTACTATCATATAATTATCACCATCATCATCATGGCACTGTGACTTGAAATGATCAAGATCCTTCTCTTATTTTCACTGTCACTCTCTGGCATCAGGGCCCAACCATCAGGAACACCGAAAGAAGCTAGACTGACATTTACTAGGTCCACCAAGTTCAGAGGCTCATGATTCAATAGATCAGTTATCATAACAAAAAGTCATCCATCCTAGAACCTCTGCCAAAAGTTCACCACTTCTCTCCCTATGTGTGGAGTGGGAGCCAGATCTCATTGCTGCTAACAATGAAGCCAGCAACTGAGAGAGACTAAAAGGGAAATTGAAGATGCACTTAGCTGGCTGCCTACAGCCCCAGCTGCTCTCCTCTGGAATCTGGGAGAGACCTGAGTGATAGACCAGGTCTGAGTTTCAGAAATAAAAGCCTGAAAATCTCCCTAGCTTTGAGGTTCTTATGGGAAAGCTGGTTGGGTTTTTTTGTTTTTGTTTTCGTTGTTTTTGTTTTTGTTTTTGTTTTTGTTTTGTTTTGTTTTGTTTTGTTTTTTCTATCTTGAGGCCTTGCTCCTTGGTGAAACCCCATAACCTTCATGTGTTCACACCTTGGTAGATGTGACTGACAAACTTTGTGTTAAGCCCCCTTTGCACTAATGCTGATTGAATTTAAATTGGCAATTGTTACCTGAAATAAGAGTTACACAAGTTCCTGGAAATTTTTTGTGAAGTAGAAGGAAATGGATGCGCTGAGGTTCTTTTGGGAACAGTCAGCTTGGCTCAGTATAATAGACAGGGCCACACTGATCATCTGGGCAGAAATAAAGCCTTCTGTGGGGCTCACAGTGCAGACAGTATTTCTCCTGAATCATTATTCTTCACCAAGGATGCACTTTGGAGCATATTTCCAGAGAAGGCTGGGGTTGGGGCTTATCTCAGGCTTCTGTCTGAGAACTGGAGACTGGGACAGGTGTGGGTATAGCTGACACAAAGGTGGCCCCAGACCAGATGGCTTGTCTAAGATGAAGGTGGGCAACATCAATCTGGGTTTGTGATTGAGGAGAACAGAAAGTGTCTCCGGTCAAGGTCAGGGAACTCAGCTTTCTTACAGGCCTGCATCTCACTGTGTGGACTTGGGCACATCTCCTCACCTCTCTGTGCCTTTATCCTCCAGGAAATAAGGAAGTTGGACCAGATTAGTAGTTCTTAAACTGCTCTTTGAGGTAAGCAGTTTGTACAGGGAGACTCAGGGGCTGCCTATGGGACAAGCTGGAGAGAAAAGGGGCCTCTGGATTCCCCCTGCCCCACCATCACCTCCCTTTAAACCAACCAGAGCTCTTATCTGCTCTGTTTGCTGGGCACCTGTATAAGGTTGAAAAATAAACTTCTGCAGTTAACAGAGACACTGTTGGGCACCTCTCACTTCTTTACCCTTTCTCAAGGACTTATGAGTTAGGTACCCACTACATGCCAGGTACTATGCTAAGCACCAGGGCCACAGAGGAGGAGAGTTCAACCAGGTCATTGCTCTCATGGCCTTAGAGTCCACTGAGGAGAGACCAACAATCTGTGAACAAACAAGATAAACATCAATGGTACTTAGTGCAAGCAAGAGAATTAAAACAAGGCAGTGTGGGGAATCAGACAATAAAGAGGAAACACTTAAGCAGAAATCTGAAACAGTCCTTAAGTGTGTGAGGAACAGAAAGATGGCCTTGTGACTGGGCACAGGGATGAGGGAAAGTCATACAACTGAGGCGGTATGGGTGGGCATGTCCAGTGCATGGATGGCTCTGAGTCCCTCTAAAATATGATAGCTTTTACAAATCAGCAATTATAGGCAACATCACATCCACCAAGATTACTGACCTCACAACACTTTAAACCTGAGGTGCATCCTCCAAGGCCAAACCCGAGCTTCAGACACCTAGTCACTAGTGTCCCTGTCCCTTGGAGGAGCCAGCTCTGGGTAAATAAAGGTGTATCATCATCCATGTCTGGATGGTTCCCCAGGGCCATGAGAACCACAGACATTACCATGGGAAGAGAGCTGAGTCAGCATGGACTCTGGCTAACACAGACTGGCTTCTATCACTTATATAGTGGGCCACTTCAAGCAAGTCACTCTTCCTACTGCACCGGTAAAATTCCACCTCTTACAGAGCTCCTGAAAAAGTAAATGAAAGCTGGCCCCACAGTAAGGCCACATAGTGCTAACTGGTTTATGATGATGGTGTTTGGAATTGCTACCTGAGGGCTAGTCTCATAACCTTTAAGCTAAGCTCTAAGGACATGTGCCAGGACTTTTACTCTTCTGCCCATTGTATGCTGCCACACAAACTGTGAGTGCTCAATAAATTAAAACACAAATTAGTAATGCTGCTAAGCATGTGTGTGCAGGCACTGCTCTGAAGATGCCTGAAACTCCGTTAGCTCTCCCACAATCCCAGGAAATATGTAGTCTTGTCACCTCAGTTTTAAAGATGAGGAAATTGAGACAGAAAAATAGTAAGTTATATGCAGGATCCTGAAGCTAGTAAGTTTCATGAATGCATCAGAACCTGGCAATCTGGATCTTCTCAGAGGCCATCTGGAAGGACAGGAGAGCTGGACAAAGAACACATCCCTCCTGTCTTCCTCTGATGCACTCAGGGATGGCACGTTTCCCAGGGAACCTTGGTGGGGGGTGTACTGGGTCTGGTCCTAGGCAGCTACAGAGGCCAGGTTACAGCAATGTAGGTCACATGTTCCAGTCTAGAGAGGCTAGGATCTGGCACATTATCTGCACTCAGCCTTTACCTGTCACTGCTCCAGCATGCTGCAGCCTGGACTCTGGATGGCCCTGGCCCCTCTGCTAGGTGCCCTCAGTGCAGGTGAGCCAATAGCAAGATCAATAAAATAACAGCCATGACATCTGGGTTCATGCTGTGTGTTGGGACCTGGGCCTCTACCTGCATTCTCTGTTAGACCTCTTGTCAACTCTGCATACGTACAACTAACCTCGCTTTTCAAATGAGGACACTGGGGTTCAGAGAGTAAATCACTTGGCCAAGGGCATGCTGTCTGTAAGTATCAGGTCCAGGTATGAACCCAGCGCCTGGCCTTCATCACTGCTGGGTCACTGCCCTAAAGGAAGCATCTGGGGCACACACCGCTGGCCTTCCTCTTCTGGGTTTCTCTAACCTACACTCCTCTGTGTATGTGTGTGTGTGTCCCCTCCCTCCATCTGCACGTTTTCACTCTCTCCCTTACCCAAGTGAAGCTGCCTTTTGTACACAGCCTTTCCCCCCCCCAAGTTCTCAGTGATCACTCCCTTTCTTGTCCCCTCATCCTTATACTCTGCCCCTTGTCTTGGCCCTGGAATCACATGCAGTCTGAGTGGTTTTGTATGTCCTAGTGGGTATTGTTTCTCTCTGAATTGTCTGCCTCTCTGGGCCTCATGTAAAGCAAGTACTTATAGTTGGCTTTGTCAAATGAAAATTATATAAATCTTATATAATCTTATAGCATACCTATAGCATACATAAATATATGCATTTATATATTTGTTTAATATATATTTAATATATAAATTCATTTATTGTTCACAATTTTTCATTTATTGTTTTCATTATTGTTTTTCATTTATTGTTCACAATTCTCCGAGGTAGGTTTCATGCCCCAATAAAACATGATCAAACTGAGGTGGACAGAAGTTACCAACTGGTAGTGGGTGGAAGACCTGGGATCTGACCCAGGTCTGTCTGTCCCCAAAGCCTGTGGATTTCCCTTGAGAACCCGGAGTCTCTTGGGGTCACCCACAAGGATTTGCTGAGCAGTTCTGAGGTAAAGCTCATGCAGCTCTTCCTTGGGTCTACAATGCATCAGTTTTCAGGGACAGAGGGTTGGCGTCCCAGCACTAAGGAGGGGCTGCATATCAGGCCTCATGAACTGCAAGGGGGCCCCAGACAGGAGCCCTGCCATACCATGACCCCTGCCTGTGCCAGCCCTTTCACCAGGGCCTCAGGGTGACTCTGGCCAGTCCTGTGATCTCTCTGAATCCCCACTTCCCCACATGTAAATTGAGAGGGTTGACCAGATGAAATGTCAGCTCTATTATCTTATGATAATAGAGCCTCAGGGCACTTCAAGTGCCTGAAATTCTAGAAGGTAAGGGTAACAAAAAAGTCACTAGGCTTCATCAAAGCATCAGATTTCTGAGGCCTTGGGTGGGGGGCTCTCAGCCAACCTGGTGTCCCTGTTACATCTGTGCTTTTCTCTTCCTATGTCTCAGGTTGGCCATGTGTCCAAAAGAACTATCATCCTCAGCACCAGCCATGGCACCCCATGTCCTCAGGGAAGACCCATTTGTTATGACAGTTTCTCAGTAATTGCAGACTTTTGTTCAAGTAACATCATCACAGGAGAAGGCCCAGAGCAGAAGGACTCTCTAGAGGCAAAAGGGGAGCAATGCCCTCACACCAAGCCTGTCGCTCCTCTCTTTTGCTTTTCACAGGGGCAGCTGCCCTCTGTCACCGCAGTGGGGCCCTCTGCTACCTCCTGTGCCTCATTGCCTGCCTGCCAGGCCAGGACTCCATGGCTGGAAGCTGCCTGCAGTGCTCCAAGGACTTTCAGTAAGGAGTGGACACCCTGGTGCCCCAGGAAGAGAGGAGGGAAAGGGCAGGAAGGACAAAGCAGCAGGGCGACTGGTTGGGAGAGACCAGGGCTTCCTTCTCCCTGGAAGAAAGTGGTCCTGTACAGGTCCCTTCTATGGTGGCCCTGAGTGTGAAGAGCTCCCAGGGGCATGAGTCCAGTAGCCTGGTGGTTGATCCCCTGGAGCCTGCCCAGGACACAGTCCCTGGATTTCTAACTTCAATCACAGCCAAGGTGCAGGACAGGTACCAGAAGACGTGGGCTCTAGACAGGCACTGTTTCTCTCCTGCCCTATAACCTGGTGAATCCTCACTTGGGAAGTGGGGCTGGCCATCATATGATCTATCTTCCCACATTCACTGTTAGCAGCTCTGGCTGCTTGCAGCTTCTCCTCAGACCAGATGGCAGCAGACCCAAATGTACGAAGGCCAGGTGTGAAGGGCCTCAATGCCATCTGCACTGCCATTAAGGCCCAACTGCTCCCTGGCTCCCAAACCTGCAGGGACTCTCCTCAGTTGCTCAGATTCCTTTGGCTTTTGCAGCTACCATGGTGGCAGGACAGCTCAGCAGCCGTGCCTCACCAGAATCTGCAGCCGGCTCCCAAGACTCAGAGAAAGCAAAGACTACCAGGTGACCCCGGGGGAAGGGCAGCTCCTTGTCTCAACCATTCCTGTGGGAGGGGGCATGGTGGTTATCAAGAAGTTCCCAGAAGAGGCTAAATTTCTCAGGATCAAAACAAACATGTCAAAAGTAAGATGGTGATGCTCTCCTTGGGGAGACACCCAACACTCCTTGCTCGCTTCTGACCCAGTGCCCGGGGACTTGCCCAGCCAGTTCAATACAAAAACAAATATAACACACCTCTACTGTGGGGATTAAATGAGATGATACCTGTGAAGTGCTGGGAGGTTCAGAGTCACTGCTTCCATGTGACATGCAATTAACATAGAAACTTTGGAGCTGGGGCACAAATGCCCACAGCAGCCACATTGCACCTCACTCACTTAGTGGGTGTCAACCAGGCACCTACTGTGTGCACCACTGGGTAGAGGACAAGAGTCAAGGCAGACCTCTGTCCCCTGAGAACTGAATCATAGCAACAACTACAGCTCAAGAAGTTTAGCTCTGGAGCTGCAGCATCCACCAAAAGTTAGACAAGGAGTACTTGAAAACCTCCCTTCAACCATGGATCACAATAATTAATTCCGCCTCACCATGACATATGGAGGTAATGTTGGTGGTAATTTTCTTTTACAGAGAAAATTGGAGGGGCAGAAAAGTTAGGGGATCTGTAAAGACCCTTGGCAAAGTAAGCACCTGAACTGAGATCCCAACTCTCAACAGCCTCCAGGTACAGGTGTTAGTCATGACCTACCTGCCTTCTCAACTTGTGTTTCCTTGTGTTCTCTCAGTGTTACCTGCCCAGGCAAGAGCCAAAAGCAAAGCGCACTGCCCATGTCTTCTGCCCTCTGGGCTACTTCTTCATAGACAGAGTCCTTAGCTGCCAGCCTCGCCCCACAGGTAGGTGAGAATGGGCTGGGGCCCTGATGCCACTGGGGAAGGACTGGCACAGGATGGGATCGAAGGGTTTTCTGCTTGAACTACATCCCCTGGAAGCCCAGGTGGTTTCTGAGGGACAAAGTCTGGCTACTCCTGGGCCCCGAACATGCACTCATATGGCTTGGGGAGAGTGAAATGAGGCAACACAGAAAGAAGGAAGTTTGCAGAGTGGTGAGGAGCATGGACTTTGGAAGACAGTTCAAGTACTAACTCTGTTCCTTACTAGATGTATGATCTTGGCAGAGTTTTACAGTTCTTAATGTACAGCATCTGCACAGTTTGTTAAACTTATCCCTAAGTATTTCATGTTTTGGGATGCTATTATAAAAGGAATCGTATCTTTTATTTCAATTTCCAAGTGTTGGTAGCTAGTTATTTTTTTCAATTTGCTTTTTATTTGTGACAAAATACATGTAACATAAAATTTAGCATCTTAACTGGTTTTTAGTGTTCAGCTTAGTGGTATTAAATACATTCATAATGTTGCCCAACTATCACCACCATCCATCTACATAGCTCTTTTCATTTTGTAAAATTGAAGCTCTATACTGATTAAACAATAATCCCCATTCCCCTGTACCCCTAGCCCTTGGCAACCACCATTCTACTTTCTGTCTCTATGATTTTGACTACTGTAAGTATCTCATGTAAGTGGAATCATACCGTATTTGCTTTTTGTGTGACTGGCTTATTTTACTTAGCATAGCATTTCCAGGGTTCATCCATGGTATACCATTAGGTCAGAATTTCCTTCTTTTAAAAGACTATATATATATATATATATGCCACATTTTGATTTTTCATTCTACTGATGGACACTTGAGTTGCTCTAACATTTTCGCTACTGTGAATAATGCTATGAACATGGGTGTACAGATATGTCTTTGGGACCCCAGCTAGTATTGACTTTTTTTATATTGACCTTGCATCCTTCAATCTTACCTGCTTCATTTATTTGTTAGAGTAACTATTTTGTGTGTAGATTTCATAATATTTTCTCTTCATGCAATATTTTATCTTTGAATAAAGACTTTTTAACTTCTATCTTTTCAAGCCACATGCCTTTTTATTACCCTTTCTTGTCTTATCATGCGGTCTATGAATTCTAGTACTAGTTTGAATAGAATTGGACATCTTTTCTCTGTTCTAAATCTTAATTGGGTTGAGGAAATCCTCTTCTATTTCTAGTTTTCTGAGAGTTGTTATCATGGATGGGTATTTAATCTTGTCCTGTCTTTTTCTGCACTGATTGAGATGAGCATATGGTTTTTCTCCTTTGTTCTGATAAGATGATGAGTATCATTGTTTTTTGAATGTTAAATTAACCTTGCATTCCCGAGATAAACTCCACATAGCTCTGATATTTTATCCTTTCTACCTATGATTGAATTTGATTTGCTGATATTTTGTAAGAATTTTTGCATCTATGTTCATGAGAGATATTAGTCTGTATTTTTCTTTTCTGATTTTTGTCTGGATTTGATATCAAAGTAATACTAGCCTTATAAAATTAACTTCCAGTTAGTACCTACTCCTCTATTGTATGAACGAGTTTATGTAGATTTGGTATGAGTTATTTCTTAAGTGTTGTATAGAACTCAGTAAAGCCACAGGGCCTAGAGTTTTCTTAATGGAAAGGTCTTTAATTACAAATTCAAAATTTTAATAAATTTAAGGCTATTCAGATTTTCTGTTTCTCATTGTGACAATTTGGTAATTTAAGTCTTTCATGGCATTTATCTGTTTATGTTGTAGACTTATTGTCATAGAGTTTTTCATACTATCCCTTTACTAACCTTTTAACATATCATCTGCAATGATTCTGTTTCATTCCTAATATTGGTACTTTGTGTTCTTTCTTTTTCTTTTTTTATTGATTGGTCTAGTTAGAGCTTTATAAATTTTATTTATCTTTTCAAGTAACTAGGTTTTGGTTTTATTGATTTTCTTTATTTTTCTATTTCATTGATTATCATATCCTTCCTTTTACTTGCTTTGATTTTAATGATATCCTTTTTCCAGCTTCCTAAGGTAAAAACAGATAATTGATTTTCCACCTTTATTGTTTTCTGATATAAGCATTTAGTTTACAGGCATTTAAACCTAAAATTTGTATCTATGCACTGCTTTAGCTATATCTCACGAATTTTATGATGTGGGGTTTTTATTATCATTAAAGTTAAAAAGTTTTCTAATTTCCTTCTGATATTTTCTGACCAGAAGATTATTTAGAAGTGTGTTGTTTAATTTACAAATATTTGGGGCTTTTTTAGATGTCTTACAAATTTCTATTTTAATTCCATAGTAGTCAGAAAACATACTCTCTGATATTTCAATCTTTTGAAATCTATTGAGACCTTTCTTATGGTCATATGTATGAGTCTGAGAAGGTTATTTAAGTTTTCCTTAAACCTCTCTTTCCTTATTTCTAAAAATGGAGTTGATAATAATGGTGACTAAATATGCCTGCTAAGTAAAGTCATATGTAGAAAGTTCTAAGTAAAGACTCAGTAAATGGTAGCCACCATACTCAGAAACAAGTTGTTCCTCACATGAGCGGTGGGGATTCTGGCACCTCATCTCAGAGACAAGAGCTCTGTCACTGCCCAACTGGCTCTGCTGCCCATCAGTAAGGAGGCTCCTCTGGTTGGCCACATACACATGCAGTCCCCTGTTCTCCCTCCCTGTCCAGCTTCTGAATGTTCTACAAGCCCCATAATTGCCTGAGTTCTTAGTGGGAGCAAGAAAGGCAGACAGAGCAAGCAGGGGAGAGGCCTGTGTGGGGCCATACTTCATTCCAGAACCCATAAATGTCAAGTGGAAAGGGATAGAGAGGTCTTCTTGTCCAGCTACCTACCCATCCCACCGCTAACTCCTGCAATCCTTTTGTCTCCCATCCACAAAGACATTTAGGATTGAAATGAGCATGAGAGAGAGAGAGAGAGAGAGGATGCTCAGAGGACCCTATCCCACTCAGCTGTGCACAGATGATGCTATCACTGTGCAAGGGTGGTTTGGAGTGACAAAGAACATGAGACATAGAGGGGGCCTGAGGGAAAAGAAGATAGGGAGAAATAGCGTACACAAGAGAGTGCCAAGGCCCTAACAACCAGGCCTCCAAGAGTGGGGAGGCCAGAACAATGGAACCAGGAGCTGGATCCAAGGTGGATCCCTACTCCCATCAGCAGCATGCGCAGGGCCACAAGACAAGTGAGGTTCTAAAGATCAAGAAGGGAGTATCTCAAGGCATACATCATTTTTACTTTTGTTAACTTTAAGACTGTATATGGTTTTGTTTTCAGCAGTATTTCCCCCCTTAATTTTCTTCAGGTTGAAAATGAAGTGTATTTGTATTTCCAGGGCACTGGCCAAAGGACAGCAGTGGAAGAGGAATGGAGGGAGAGCCCCTGCACCTGCGGGCAGAAGGTAAACAGGGCTGACACTGAGGGTGCTGACACCTGCGTGAGCAGGAGCGGTTTCTCATCTTTATCCCTTCCCCTCTGTAAGGATACTGCCCCTACCTCAAGGTCACCCAGCCTCTTATCCACCTGCTCTTTGATGTATATTGTGGGGCAGGGCCAGGCTGTGGGGAGCCCACTGAATTCATGGGACACTTAGGAGACAGAGCCACTCCCAGGGGAACTAAGAGGGCTTGCCCATCCATCAGTGTGAAGCAGCCTAGGGAAACACATGGCTGGACTAGAGGCAGGCAAGGACCTCAGTGAAGTGTCTGGCTGCCTGGAGAGGGACCATAGATTGCACTGCAGTGACAGGAGGACTAGAAAGGCACAGTGGGAAAAGGAACACAGCTGACGTGGACCTCTTGCCAGCCCTCTGCCCACCCATGTTCTGCCTCACACACTCTTCTTGAGCACCTGCACGTACCAGCCACTGGGCCAGTGTTAGGGTCCCTGGAGCTCACTGTTAGAAGACAGACAGACACAGGAACCCCCTAAACTACAGTGTGGAGAGTATTGAATCAAAGTAAGGACAAAGCCATCGAAGCTCAGACAAAGGTACTGGCAGTCTTCTTGGCAAGGGACCCAGGAGGCTTCTTGGAGGAATACACATGGGAGTCAGGCCCAGAAAATGCACAGGCTCAGTCAGTCAGTCACGGAGGGCAGGGAGAACCCTTCAAGCAGAGGAAGTAGCTTTTTGGAGAAGCAGAGAGCAGAGACTTTGCTGCTCTGATCTTCTCCCTGGCAGTGATGCCACCCCAGGGCTCTGGGCTATAGATTGCCACAGAGGCCAGCCTGGTCTTGGGCCCCCAACTCACCACCCTAGGGCCTGCAGACTCCTCCCATGATGAGGCCCTGAGTCCTGGTGGGACCCACCCATATGGCTTCCCTTCACAGGCCACTTCTGCCCAGATGGTGCCATCACCATGCCATGCCTGGCCAGGACCTTTGAAAGCAGGAGGGAGACACCCCACCCCAACACCAGCTTCTGCTCAGCAGGTCAGTTCTGAATTTTGTCTGCTGTTTGTACAATGGGAAGAGTGAGTTGCTGACTTTGCTGATTAGGTGCTCATCCAAAGTCTACCATACATACTTCATGATGCTGACTATAGCCAGCAGCATCTCCAGGCCCTGGTAGAGGTGAACACCAGGAAAGCCCCACTCAGGATGCAGCAGGCCCCAGCAGGCTACCAGGTCTGGGAGCCCCATGTTGTCTTTGCTCAGCTGGGAAAATCAGGACATGTGCAGGAAGTTCAAGGCAGCCCAAATTGTTCAACATAGAGTTTAAAGACAGAGGGGTCATGTGGCTGGGAACCACTCACAGTGAGCACATGGAGAAAAGAAACAAACAGTTTAAAAGTGAAGAATGAAAGTGCTGGTAGGCACAAGGGAGGAGTGGTCAGGAGCCCAGACAGAGAACACCATGTGGGAATTGGGACACATCCAGATCTGCTATTGATGGGCTATCAGTAGGTTCCTTGACCTCTCTAAGCCTCAGTAGTAATATTTGCCTTATAAGGCTTCTGTGGGCATCAGACAAGACATCTATATAAAGGACCTTGCACTGAACCTAGCACATATTGAGTGCTCAGGAAAGAGTTGCTTCTGACCTCATAATCACCGCCATCAACAACTTCCCCTATTACCTTGGAAGAATGAGTCTGGGGGCAGAGAAGGGGTATTTATCAGGTCAGACCACTCAGTGTCCTGAGGGAATATTCCCCCTCTCCTGCCTCAGCACTACCAGATGCACCACCACAGATCCCAACGCACTGTCATGTAAGTGCTTGTGACAGCCAGTAGTGGTTGAGGAGAGCTTGTGACCACCCTGGGGATGTAACGATTTGGGGGCTCAGGAAGCTCACTCGCTCCCCAGGATCATCTAATTTTGGCAGCGAAGCCAGGACCAGAACCCGGGTGTCAAGACAACACAGGGCTGATGCCCTCGCCTGCAAGCCTGGGCAGGGTTGAGGCTCCTGAACTTCAGCCCCACACACAGTGCTGTATGGGACAGGAGGGCACCTGCCAATCCAGCTGCTGGCCTTTGGACAGGGCCACTGCCATCAGCGATAATGGTGTGTGGTGTTGGGGGGCCCTGAATCCCCAAGAGACCCACCACATCATGGGCCCTAGGCCACTGCTCCCTGCACACAATAGGTCTCACTGCCCGCTTGCCTGTCCCCTAGCCCAGACAGTTCTCTCCCCTTGCCTGCAAGCTCTCCACTGCTTATTCTTTTAGTGCTGTCTCCAAAGGCCAATACAGGATTTCTCCAGAAAAATATAAATGGCCACAAACATCTTCCTGCTTCCCATTTGTCACAACTCTGCAACAGTTCTGAGCACCAGTTTACTTGCCATGGGCTGGGTGACACTCGAAGCCCCTCCAAGCTCTGACATCCTGAGTCTGTGACTCATGGAACACAGTACAGGTTTGACCTGGCAGGGGAGGAAAGGCCCAAGCATAGTGGGGTGGGGCTGGAGCACCTCTTGGGTGTCAGACTCTGCACTAAGTGTTCTCACATGTGTTAGCTCACATAACACCATCGAACACCATCGATTATGATCTGGGGCTCATAATCCCCTCTGAACTTCAGAGGTCAATTAAGTGGCTTGGGTCACATAGAGTGAGGTCACAGTGCAAACCCACATCTGTCTCATTACTTTGTAACACCCCAAGAATGCCCCGAAGTCCACATGGATGGATGTTGGATGGTTTTGAAAGGAAGAAAAAGAGGCAGGGACAAATTCCTCACAGCCTCCATTTTGCCCAATTCTGAGGCTGTTAACTGGAGACAGGGCTGGATCCCTGGTAAGTGGTTCAAGGAAACAGATTTCTGTGACGGAGCCTCTCAGCTACTTTTCTGTGAAGTTCTGAAGCCACCAACTCCCTGGGCCATTCCTCGGAGCCATGGAGGAAAGTGTGATGCTTCCTCTGCAGCCCAGGGCCAAGACCAGCCCCCACCAGAACCAGCCCCTGGAGGATAGGGCCAAAGTGGGCACTCAGGTGAGATAGCTGAGTAGGAAGGAGTCATTTCCTCTGCAGGCCCCAGGAGTTGGAGAGCGAGGAGCAAAGTGTCCAGCAGCATCACCCGTGGTCACACATTAACTCCCCTACTAGGAACCCCAGTTCCCATGTGAGGACAGAGTGAGGGCAGAGGCTGTCCCACACTGAGACAGAGCAACAGAAACAGCAAAACTAGGAAAGTGACCCAGCCTCCAAGAAAGTGAAGATAGGTCTGGTGTGAGCCACAGCAGCCGGAAAGTTTCCTCTCTCCCCAGGGTGTTGGAACTGTGATGCTGCGATGTTGAAACTAGGACTCACGAAGACTTGCCGGGTGCCCAGTCCTGCACAGGGGCTCTGTCACATTGCACAGTGTTGTCACAGCAAGCCTGGGAAGCTGTGTTGTTGTAATCCCATTTTATAGAAAGGAAGATGGGAGTTTGAGAAGCTAGGAGACTCCCTGTCATAGTCGTCTGTGGGCTGTGCTGCTGAGGCAGTGGGAGCCCCCTGAAACCTGCAGCACTGAGAGAGCAAGGAAGCCACTGGTCTCTGCATGGAGAAGAAAGGACCCCCCCCCCCCCACTCTGCACCTTGGTAAATGCCGATGGCAACCCTCCTCCCTGCACTCCCAGGCCCACAGGAGGATCAGACCCACCAGGGCCTGGGAAGCATTCATTGTTTTCCTTTTGAGACCAGCAACGCAGGTCCTTCGGAGAGAACTGCAGTGATGTGGGCTGTTCTCTCCCCAGTTCTCAGCCAGTGTCTGCAGTGCCCAGCGGGATACTTCTGCCCCAACCAAGCCACCCAACCCATCCCATGCCAGCCAGGCACATTTAGCCCGAATCCAGGCCAGGATGAAACCACAGACTGTGTTCCATGCCCAGCAGGCAAGGCCTGTACCCAGGCTGGGCTGACTCAGCCAGATGCAGAGTGCACACCGGGGTAAGGAACTTTGATTTCTTAATGATATAGAGGTGACTGGATGGGGGCTCAGTGTCCTCCCCCTACCATCGTTCAGGAGTCATACCCTCAGATTCAGGTGGGGATTCAGCAAACATCCACCCACCTCCGTGTCCTGGGAGGGCCCCTGCCTCCCAATCAAGGCTCAGTGTCACTCCAGCCCCAGGCTCCAGGACCCTCCCCAGGAGCACCGGGGCCTGAACATGAGCTGGAGGCAGCTAGGTAACATGAGCTGGAGGCAGCTAGGTAACATGAGCTGGAGGCAGCTAGGTAACCCACGGGGAGAAAGGGGCACAGGGAGGTTACTGCAACAAAGCCACAGAGGCCAGCAGGCACAATGGGATTTCCCTGCGACTACCCAGGCTGATGGGTGCTCCTTGGTTGTCGTAGGTATGTGTGCCCTGTGGGCTCTTCCAGCCCCAATGCTCCCACCCATGCCTGCCCACCTGGGACATTTAGCAGCCGCAACAACCTCTCCGACCTGTCACAGTGTGAGGTCTGCCCCTCGGGAGTAGCCTGTCCTAGGGGTGAGTGAAAAGGGGGAAAGGCAGCCTTGCTGCCTATTGGACCCTGCCTTTTTGGGTGAAGAACCATCTCCACTCCTAGGCAAGGAAGGCCAGCAAAATAGACCCTGACCCATAACCCTTTGTTTTCGCACAAAGATCATGGTTCACCTCACTTAGGGTGTCTGAGGATGGGACCATGAAGATCACTGCGTTCCCACCATGCTGCCTCAGGTAGCCTTGGGCCGCTGCTGACCAAGATGCCCCTTTCACCAATGCCAGGCCCCAGCCCATGTCCCTTCCACTTACCAGAGGGATGTAGCTGGAGGGGGTGCTGCTCCTCCGGGTCTAATTCAAGATTGTGTTTGCAGGAACTGGAAGTCCAAACTGGCCCCCTATCCCCTGTCCAGCTGGCCATTATTGCCCTCTGGGCACCAAACGGCCGACCCAGTTCCAGTGTCCCCCAGGCACCTGGAGTAACCAGACTGGACTAACAGCAGTCGAGGAGTGTGTACCTTGTCCCAGGGGCTGGTTCTGTGTCACTGGAGCCCAGCTTCCCTCAGGGACATGCAAAGCTGGGCATTACTGCCCACAAGGTGAGTGGGGCCAGGGTCTGCTCTGCAAGGTCACAGGTGAGTGCCAGAAGAGAAAGCCACGAGCCAGCCTGCCATACTAAGGTTAGATTTCAAGAGAACCTTCCTGAGAGTAGGGCCAAGACTGCTCAGCTGCTGAACATCCTGAATGGGGATTCCCAGGGTATGAGTCCAGACAAGGCTGGTCCTAGGTGAGTGGCACCCCCTGCTCCCTGCCCCTTCCCCAGTGGCCTCTGTTGAGGAACTGTCCCCAGGCAGTAGGGTGAGAAGCTACTGTACCTGCATAATGCAGCCCTGGCCCCCCTCTTCCGTCCTGAGACCCCTCCTTCTTTCTGAAACAGGTACAATGTGGAGCACCCAGTTCCCTTGCCCAGCAGGCACCTACAGCTCTCAAGCAGGCAACAGCCAGATGGAAGACTGTCTGCCATGTCCCCCAGGGGCCTTCTGCCCCAGTGGTGCCCCCAAGCCCGTGCTCTGCCCACGGTAAGGGAGGCTGAAGGGTATGGCCATCCTCAAAGTTACCACATGTTTATTAAGTACAGGCCGAAGCCTGGCACTATGCCAGGCATCGAGGGATTTATAAAGAGAGATGAGGGTCTGGGCTGCCTTAGGACCTGATAGCTTTGTTAAGATAAGACATAGGAACTGAAAAGGCAAGGGCCAGGGCTGAGATGCAGGGTGGCAAATTGGAGTGGGACCCACCCCCACCCTCATGGCCCTAGATGTTGAAAGGGAGAGAACTCACTCTGGGCTGGAGTCAATGGGTAAGGTGCCCACACCCCAGTGGAGAAGCTGCTTCAAGAACAACACACCCCAAGGCCACGCACTCTGGAAGCTAATTCTGGCTGACATCTTAGCAACGATCATTTGGCGCTCTGGAATTCTCTCTGTTGATTTGACTGGTTTATGAAGATGTGCCCCTTATTCCTCTGGTCACGGAGTAAACTTTAAGAATTTTTCTTATTTTGAAAAAGTGATACATATTCTTCACGTAAAAAGTGAAAACAGTAGTAACCAAAATAAATTTCAGACCAAATATAGATTTCCATGTAAAAAACAAAACTGTAGGGGTGCCTGGGTGGCTCAGTTTGTAAAGCATCCGACTTCAGCCCAGTCATGATCTCGCAGTTCCTGAGTTCAAGCCCCACATCGGGCTCTGTGCTGACAGCTCAGAACCATGTAGTCTGCCTCAGATACTGTCTCTCTCTCTCTCTCTCTCTCTCTGACCCTCCCCTGCTCATGCTCTTTCTCTCTCTCTTAAAAATAAATAAATATTTTTAAAACTTTTTAAAATAAGTATTTACAACCAGAGAGAATGTGGAAAAGAAGCATGACATGAAAGGCAGAAATAATTGAGGAAAGACCACAGGATCTGAAGGTAGTTATTTCAAGCTTCTGTTCAACAGCATCATGAACAAAGTTAAAAGGCAAACAACCAAGCAGGGAGATGTTTTCAATATGAACGTCAGGCCAAGCATCCATCTACTTACTGCCTTATTATATAAGGGCCATTACAAATCACTTACAATAAGACAGAGAGAGACAGACAGACAGACCAACGATAGACCACACCAACATAAAAACATAAACAAAGTAGAGGAACAGAAAACTTTTTGTTTGGTTGTGTTTTAATTTATTTAAATTCCAAGCAGTTAACATTCGGTGTAATATTAATTTCAGGTGCACCATACAGTGATTCAGCAATTCCATACATCCCTCAGTGCTCATCATGACGAATGCTCTCCTTAATTCCCAGCACCTGTTAGCCCCCTCCCCCTCCCCCCACCCACCTCCTCTCTGGTAACCATTAGTTTGTTCTCTATAGTTAAGAGTCTGTTTCTTGGTTTGCCTCTCTTTTTTCTCCTTTGCTCATTTGTTTTGTTTCTTAAATTCCATATATGAGTAAAATAATATGTTATTTGTCTTTCTCTGACTGACTTATTTTGCTTAACATAATACTCTCTAGCTCCATCCATGTTGTAGCAAATGGCAAGATTTCATTATTTTTTATGAAGTAAGTATTGAGTAATATTTTTGTGAAGTAAATATTGAATAAATATGGAGTAATATTCATATATATATACATATTTACAAGTGTTAATGGACACTTGGGCTATTTCTATAATTTGGCTATGTAGATAATATTTATAACATCAGAGTATATGTGTTCCTTCAAAGTAGTATTTTTGTATTCTTTGGATAAATACCTAGTAGTGCAATTGCTGGATCATAGGGTAGTTCTACTTTTAACTTTTCGAAGAACCTCCATGCTGTTTTCCAGACTAGTTGCCCCAATTTGCATTCCCACTAACAGTGCAAGGGGGTTCCTTTTTCTCCACATCCTCACCAACAACTGTCATTTCTTGTGTTGTTGATTTTAGCCATTCTAACAGCTGTGAGGTGGTATCTCATTACAGTTTTGATTTGTATTTCCCTGATGATCAGTGATGTTGAGCATCTTTTCATGTATCGGTTGGCCATTTGTATGTCTTCTTTGGAAAAGAGTCTATTCATGTCTTCTGCCCATTTCTTAGTTGGATTATTTATTGTTTCAGGTGTTGAGTTTTATAATTTCTTTATTTATTTTGGATACTAACCTTTTATCAGATATGTCATGTGCAAACTTTTAATAGAAGGACGATCAGCCTATAAGCCTGGTTTTAAAACCTCTCTCGATACGCTGTCCCATCTAGGCCACATTTAGGGCCACACCTACCACATCCTCAGCATAACCCAGGGGTTTACAGCCAGGGTGGGACTTGGCCTTTAAATCCGGAGGGTGAGGCTGGAGACAGTGGTGGTCTCCTGCCCTCCATCAATGGTGATCCCATGTGGCTGTCACAGCTCCTCCCCAAGAAGGCTGTGGGCACCCACACTCCTTGCTCTCTGCTTCTTTTCCAGGGGAACCTCCCACCAGAGTCTGGGTGCAAGGCTGGCTGTGGCCTGTGTGCTTTGCCCTGCAGGTCACCACTGCCCTGAGCCAGGCACTGCTACTCCACAGCCCTGTGGTGCTGGAAGCTTCTCTGTAAGTGTTCCCAGAACAGACTCCATCCCTTAGAGGGCTCAGAAGGGGGAGGATCCTACAGTCAGGGAAGTGGGGAGGTGGCTAGGTGCAGCCTCCATCCTGGGCCCCTTTCCTCCAGGCGTTGGAAACCTGTGGACCAGGGCAGGTGCTCAGAGAGTACCTCAGTTTTACTGGCATCTGCCCTGCTCTGAGCCCCTCCCATGCCCTGCCCTCCTCAGAAGGAGATGTACACAATAGCCTGGGGTCCCAGCCAGCAGCATTCTCAGTTCAATTCCACATGTATTCTGAATGCCTACAATGTGCCAGCCTTGGCCCAAATGTTAGAGGAGTGGAAAGAAACCAACCTTATTGCCAATCCTCCTTCCAGGGTCCAGGCCATCTCTGGTGCCAAAAGTGCTCAGGAGGAAAGCTCTGCAATCAGACAAAACTGGCCCGCCCCATAGCATGTCCACCTGGGCACTACTGCCCAGCCCCAGGCCTGCTGACCATCCCTTGTCCCATGGTAAGAAGATCCCCTCAGCCCTCCTGGCATCTCTTCACCTGTGCCTGCAAAGGCTCTGGAGCCATCAGCCCTGTACCGGTGGTTGGGGTGGAGGACACTCCTTCACTGTGACACGGCCACATGCCAGCCCTCTGCCTCCTGCCCCACTCTGATGAGGAGCACTGGACCACTCCCTTTATCAAAGCTGATTTCTGATAGTGGTGTTAGACCAGAGGTCACAAGGGGCAAAGCAACCCAGGCTTGTGGAAGAGGGAGGGATGCAGGGAGAGGGAGGGAGAGGCTCGGGAGCTGAAAGATAGAGACTCAGGTGGAGCTGCCAGCAGGGGGGGGGGGGGGGGGGGCAGCCTTTGTTCTCCAGGCTCCAGAACCCTCCAATCTCCCCCACCCCCCACTGTAGCCATGGCTTCTTCTCCCCAAGATATACGCACCTCTTCAAATGATCTGATGTCCTCTATTCTCTCTTCCTGCCTGCTTTTGAAATCTGCTGTGAATTAATCACATTCCTCACTGGGTGGGTGTTTTGCCATCAAACACTGTTGGTCTATCAAAAAGTAAGTCCCTCTCATTCGTGTGTGTGTTCTGGAGGCTCATTCTTCAAGCAGGCCATTTCCTCCTCCCCAGCCCTGCCGTGTCCAGGGTGAGGGTGGAGGGGCCCAGCTCTGTTCCCTTCCTAGCAGAGCAGCCAGGCTACCCGGGCCTGGAGCCCCATTCTGGCCTCCAGGTCCTTGATGTCAGTTCAACGTTCTCTGTTCAGGGCACTTTCCGAGAGGCCCCTGGGGCAGCACGTGTGGAAGACTGCCAGCTGTGCCGCCCTGGGGCCTTCTGTGGCAGAACAGGCCTGACTGAGCCCCAGGGGCTATGCAGTCCTGGGCACCACTGTGGGCCTGGTTCCAACACCTCCTCTCCGGTGAGTGCAGGCCCTCCTGGGCCTAAGGGAGGCAAGGCTGGCCTGAGCTCAGAGGACTGGGCTGGAGTCAGGGGACACCAGTACCTACCTTTAGGGCTCACGGCCTCTTGGGGTAACAGAGCAAAAATGGTGGGACGTTGCAGAGACAGAGCCAGTAAAACTGCAACCATTAAACATGGCCAATAAAAATGTGGAAGGGCCAAAGTATTTAATATCAGTTTCCAGCTTTTACCTAAAAAGCCACCAAATACAAATAAGTCATCAGTTAGGAAAAAGCACAACAGAGCTGACAATTAAGACACATGAACCAAAGGCATTTCTGTACAATATGCATCTACTAATCATCAAAAGTAAACACAGTTGCTGAGGCCCTAAGAAGACACGGCTGAGGGATAGAGTCCATTTCCAGTGGGCCGCACCTGGGCCCAGGCTGCCGGACAACAATCGTGAAACATGTTGACAAGAGCCTCAAGGCAGTTTGTACCCTTTGATCCAATACTCATGTGGGAAAGAACATAAAAGGGAAAAAAATGTCATTCATTTAAATATGTTAAAGATGTTCAAAACACCACACATTTTAACAGCAAAAACACAACACAAAACAACACAAAGGCCCAGTAATAGGAAAATATCTAAGCACAGATATGGAATACCATCCAGCTGGATAACAGGTGACAGTTAACAATGACAGGTAGGTATACTGTCGATACATAGATGACTGAAAGATGATACATAGGTAAGAGTGAGAAAGATAAGACCGACAGACAGATGTGCCTTACCACAAGTGTAGCAGCACTTTCAGCAAATAGGCAGAGAAGTGGGATTGTTTAGGCTACTCAACATTAAAATTTATTTCATTTTTCTGAAAAGTTAAACTCCCAGAGCATTTCCCAGAGGGGGGTGTAAGTCAGGTTGATGCGTGTAAATGAGCAGGAGTGCACTACTGGCTGACTGAGGCAGGCCTCCTCACAGAGGGGTTCAGAAGGACTATGAGGGAGCCCAGTGGAGAGAACCCTCTTGTTCTCAACTTTTAAAACTCAACTGGACCCTCTTCCTCTAGGAGGGACTCCCCTTTGGTGACCTCTGCCCTGCTGGCCATTTCTGCCCTGCTGGCACCAAGGATGCCAGGCAGAGGCCCTGCCCAGTTGGCACCTGGAATGCAGAGAGAGGGGCACAGGATGTGAGCTGGTGCCTGCCCTGCCCACCTGGGTTTTTCTGTGCTGCAGCAGGCCAGGCTGCCCCCAGGGGCCCGTGTGCACCAGGTGAGGGCATCCATATCTCCCCCGATGACCTGGCAGGAAAAGCACCAAGCAGAGGATGGTCAGGTCTGCCACCTGGGCTCTGGCCCTAGGACCCTCAGCTCCTGAGGTAGAGACATGTTAGTGAGAGCTTAGGGGAAGTGTTCCCAGGTCAGTGAGGCTCGGCTTGGCCTTGGGAGGCAGGCTGGAAGCTACTAGGTGCCCCTTCTAAATGGATTGTTCCAAGTCCTGAGGCCTAGATGAAGGGGAAGGAGAAGGAAAAGAAGGACCAGGGATGAGGAAGGACAGTGGTGTTCCAAAGGCTAAGGAAGAGTCTTCTGCCTGCTTGGCCCGGGAAGGCCCATCACCTTGTCTGTGATTGGGACAACACTTTGACCTTCCCCCAAGGTCCTCTGGATTGGGGGGGGGGTTCCATGTACAACAGAATATCCATGGGTTCACTGGGGAGTGAAATTTAGGTTCAGATGGATGAGACGCAGCCACTCTGCTCCACCAACCTGCCACCCACCTCAGCCTCCCTTTGACTAAATGGTGAACACGTATTTGAAGATGTACATTCAAAGGGACCTAGTTAATAGCTCATCTGGGATATCCACAGAGCATGTTGCCATCAAAGCTGTTATTAGTGTGGCAGGACCCTTATGGATGGGAAGGCAAGTAGCACAGCTCCAGCACCAAAAAATAGACCAGCCTGAATGCCTTCTCTTCTTCTAGGATATTACTGCCCAGGAGGGGCGTGGACCCCGACACCTCTCAGTGGCCCATGGGGAGATGGTGGCTCTGTGGGCCACATCTGCCCTGAAAGCTCACAGGTGGCCACATCCCAGACAGATGGGTATCACAGCAATGGCTCAGGTACTTGGGCTGGCTCAGAAGGCAGACCAGAGTTGCTATAGAAACCATCTACAACACAGGGTGGGCAAGGCCACAAACTGACACAGATGCTTTACTTTCCAGGCCAAGAGAGCCACCAGGAGAGGACCTGCCCTCCCAGTCATTACTGTCCCCAGGGCACTGGCCACATCCCCTTTCCTTGCCCTCAGGACATGTCCAGTCCATGGAAGGGCCAAAGCCCAGCCCAGAGCTGTTGGCTATGTTTTGCAGGTGAGGAAACAGAAGGGAGCAGTTGGGGTTTCTCTTGGAGAGTCAGGTCAAAACTGTGTTTTGGGGCCTGGGGAGCAGCAGGTCACTGGAAACCTCTCTCTGATGGCCTAGGGTACAGGAGGCCCTGGGAACAGTGGTCAAGGACAGGGCCTTTGGACTGGGCAGAAGTCCAGTGGCACTATTCCTTGCTGTGGGAAATAACTTAACTCAGTTTCTCATGTGCCCAATAAGAATACAGAATATGGGAATTTGTATTATCGAGGTAAAAATTAGATACGACAGTAAATAAGGCAAAGAAGTGGCCATAATACAGAAGAACAGGTTCCATGGAGGAGACAAAGGGCTTGGCATGGTCCTGGGTAAGTGAGGATGTGTACTCAGTGACACTCATGTCATTGGCCCAGAAGTGACAGCATGGGACTGGGCTTCTTGCAGGGCAGGCTGAGCAGTGGCTCCATCCAACGCCCTGCTTCAAAGGGTGGGAGTGTTGGGAGCACTGCAGGCCTGACCTTGGCTGTACTTCACTCCCCAGGGCAGCATCAAGAGACCTTCTGGCAGAGTGAGTTAAGTGTGGGGCTAGATAAGGGCAGCTATGAGATGGCAAATCACGGAACCTCTGGGCTGGGGGAGCCTCAGGGAACAGGACTTCCTTCCCTGTCCTTCCTCCAGTAACAAGATTGGGCCTGGCTGGTGACCCCACTGAGGTCTTGTGTCTCCCAAGACCCTGCCATCGTGACCTCACTGCCACCCGTGCAGGTTCTCTGTGGCCAGGGCCAGCACGGAGCTCATGGGCAGCACTCTAGGACTGTGCTGTGGGATGAGCACCAGCCCGGCAGCCCCTGCCAGACAGCACCTCTACCCCCCACCCCCACCGGCTCAGGGGTGCCCCAGGGGTGAGATTATGGACCATCTCCCAACCCCAGACCTCCCTTGTCCAAGGACAGCCCACAAAGAGCAGCCACTGTTTATCCTCCCCCTTGTGACATCAGTGTCCTTAGGGGTGTGGAGACAACTCTCATGCAAGCTGTAAGACCACAGATGTTTAAAACTCTGTTACTCTGTCTTCCTCCTTCACCTGCCTGTTGCTGGTACAACATGCACTGCACGTGTTTCCTATGCTCACACATGCCCGCAGATGTGTACACATCATACTTCCACAGGTAAACCTGCCAGCTTGGGGGCAGTGACAAAACCAGGATCACACACACTTTTTTTTCTCTTCTCCTAACTTCTCCTATCCTTCTTCTTCTTAGAGTTTATTACCCATAGATTATGTGCTCCATGAGCTAATAAAGGGTCATAATGCTGCAAATAGAAATAACAAACTTGGCCAAGAAGGGAACAGGCTTCCAAAACAAGTGTCCCAGAGGCCTTCATTCAGTGGCTCAGACTCTGCTTCTCAAGCTGGGTGTGGAGCCCCCAGTCCTCCTGGTCTGTCCTGTGCCCACCTTTCTCCAGAATAGGCCAAATGCTGGCACCCCTGTACTTTCTCCTCACCTTTGCAGTCTGCCCAGATAATTTCTGATTACATCTCTGTGCCCCACCCCCACACCTGGGGCCCCACCCACTGTCCCTGTGATGAGCCAGGACTGGACAGGACCCTGGACTGGAGCTGCCTGGGCAGTCAAGGGTGATGTCACTCCAGTTTTTAATCTCTGCTACTGTATTTCAGAAAATGTCCTCTGCAGAGGGTGGGCAAGACTGGGACTACTGAGTGATTGGTTTGGGTGTGGGAGGGGCTATTTTGTGATCCCACCTACTTCTGACTTTGGGCAGGAGCTGAAGTCACCCAACCTGACGGAGGCATCCATGCCATGGCAGGGGGCCCCTGCCCTCCAGGCCACTTCTGTCCAGTGGGCACAGCAGTGCCCCTGCCTTGCCCTGTGGGTACCTTCTCAGATCGGTGAGTGAGAAGCCCATGGGGGTAAGCTCAGAGCTGTCTTCCTCCTGGTCTTCTGTCCACATGGACCATCTCACTGGCAGCATCCCTCCACCACAGAAGGACATCAGCCTCAGAGCAGGGCTTCCACCTGACCTGTGACCAGCATTATAGGTAAAGGGAGTTTTCTTATCAGAATAAGGGCAGGCAATATGGGCTGCTGGGAGCTTGAGAACATTCATACCCGAGAAAGAAAGGCTATCAGGTATTCTGTGCATCTGCCTGAGTCTAATTTGAGAGTAGAGTCCCATCTTCCCATGTTTAGGAGCATCCCAGCCCCCAAGAGAAGGTACTCAGGGCAAGGGGACAGCTGTGGAGCCAATGGTTGAAGGGCTGGTGGATGTTCTGCCTATTGCTGCCAGACGAAAAGGTCTGTGGCCCTAGACAACTGAGTTTGAATTAAGATTAAGATGGAAAAGGACAACTATACCCAGACAGCTGTCTTGGGGAGCAGCAGGGGGAGAAAGAGAAAGAGAGCCCTGTTGAGCTCTCCTCCAGGCATCGTCCAGAATGAAACCACCTGCCTTGTAAGCAGGAAGAATCCCAGGGAACCTAAAAGAGGAGAAATGAAAAGGCAGCTCCAGAAATGCATGGTCCCTTGCCAGGACATGGCTACTCCACCTGGTCCCACTGATGCCCAGGTTTCTCTCTGTCTCTCCAGGATGTTTCTCACCATGGCATCGGAGTGCCTGTCCTGCCCCTTTGGCCATTTCTGTGGTGCATCTGGCCTCACTGCCCCCTCTGGACCCTGTTCACCTGGCTACTTCTGTATGGAAGGAGTCTCCTCCCCAACCCCAGCAGGTAAGGGGTCTCTTAGGACTGGTGTGGGCCCTGCACTGGCCCAACGCCCAGAGGTAGATGGGCACTCTGATTATGGGAAGTGACTGGGTGCGGGGCAGTTTGAGGACAAAGGGGAAGGGTGTGAACAAGCGGGCCTGGAGAAGATCCTTGGCCGGAGTGTTTAGAAGTCTGACTGCTATTCCTGGACCCACTGGCCTCCTGTCCTGTGCCTGTAGCAGTATTTCTCATGGTTGGCTCACTGCCCTCTGGACTGTGGTCATTGGGCTCTTGTCACATCTGTGGTTCTGAGCCCACCTCAGCCCCACCCAACCTCCTAAATCAGAGCCCCACTGACCCAAAGATGGAAACGCCATATATTTTCAAGAATGTGGGCAGGGAGAACCTGGGGGCTTCCAGAGACCAGCCAGCAGGTTCCAGAATGGTACCCTTTGAGGAACCCAGAGGTGAGCTGAGTGTGGACCTCGTCTCCCATGAGGGCCAGAGACAGCACCCGTGGGGAGGTGGAGCACAAGGTAAGCTCACAGGGAAGACCCTCTGCACCCATGTTCTCAGAGGATGCCCTTTATTCCTTGGGAACTTCTGAAGGGAGAGGGGGATGGTACACACAGCACTGAGCTACAACTTTGGTGAGGGCCATTGAACCTAGGCCAGGGCCTTAAAGTCCCTCTTCTCAAGAACTTCCATTTGTCCAAAAAACATTTGAGGCAAAAACCCAGTTCCAGGATGGAAAGTGAAGTTCTGGGGAGTCGGGTGGGCAGCAAGAGAGCACGGGTCACGAGCCCCCTGTGTGGGGACTTGGGGGGGGGGCGGATATAGGAGGCACAGGGTTCTGCTCACAACCACACACGAAAGCAATGCTTTCTAAATCCATTTTTTTTTTTAAATAAACACTCACGTTGTGTGTCCTCAGAAGAACACAAGGGGAAATATTAAAAAAAACAGGCTTTGAGTCTGGGCGAAGCACGGAGAGACGCTGGTCACAAAAATCAGTTACCATTCCAGGATGCCATCCCCACTAAAAATGGGTCATTATTCCTGCCCACCTACGAAAGGGGGATTTTCTTTTTCTTCTTTCTTTCTTTCTTTCTTTCTTTCTTTCTTTCTTTCTTTCTTTCTTTCTATTTCTTTTCTTTCTTTCTTTCTTTCTTTCTTTCTTTCTTTCTTTCTTTCTTCTTTCTTTTCTTTCCTTCTTTCCTTCTTTCTTCCCCTGACCCTGGGATCATGACCTGATCCAAAGTCAAGAGTCAGACACTCAACCAACTGAGCTACCCAGGCAACCCGAAAGGGGGATTTTCTGAGGCTCAAATACACATGCATAAATATATAACATATATATAAAGCATATATTCTTTGATCTGGAAGATGCTATATAAATGTTAATTATCAGCATTATTTATTTCTAAAACCCTTGAGCCTCTGCCCCAAACCCAAGTCCACATTTGGTCTTGGTGGCACAAGTCACCCCAGGCTCCGTTATGCTCAACAGTGACTGGGCTTGCACTCCTCACTTAGCTTCCTTCCTTTCTTCAGGCCACGCAGAGCACGGGGGGCCCTGTCCCCAAGGCCACTTCTGCCCCAGTGGGACCAGCCTTCCCCATCCTTGCCCTGCTGGCTCCTACAGCAACCTGACTGGCCAAGCATCCTGCTTCCCCTGCCCTGCTGGCTATTACTGCCCTGAGAACATCACCACTTACAGCGGGCACCCCTGCCCCACTGGCTTCTACTGCCCCAGAGGTGAGTGCCTGGGCCACAACTCCCAGAGGCAAGGCTGAGCAGCAGGGGCTAGTATAGGTGGCAAGGGTAGGGGTGGGGCTTGGTGCTTGCTGCTCTGTAAACTGCAGCAGCAACCAAGGATCACACAGATGTTCACTGCTGAGACTGTCCCACCACCTGTCCCAAAGGCCCAGGGAAGGACTGGACCTTTCACAGAGGCTGAGCCCAAAGCAAGAGGCCTTGAGCAGCAAATTTCATACAAGCGTTTTGCTTTACCTTTAAAATTCATGAGAGTTTTACTTTCTACTCTATAACATAATCCCATTGGCTAAAAACTAAAGATTTAAGATTACTTTACCAGTATGTTACAAATTTGGGGCCACATGCTTTTCAGCAAAGTTCACCACCAGGAAAATGATTCCTGCAAACTCTATGGCTTTGTGGACCCTGGGCCCGGGACCACACAGCCTGGAAAGCCAAACATAAGCTATTGGTGAGGCAGTGGCTCCTGTGGCTCAGGCCAGGAATTTGCCAGGACAGGTCCTACGAGATGGCACCAGGAGCAGTGAGTGGCATGGTCTCTCTCCTTAGCCTTGAGCCCAGCTGGACTCCCTCCTCTGAACTTTGCTTTTCAGGCACCAAATATGCCACCCAGTTCCCCTGCCCTCGGGGCTACTACAACCCAGACCCAATGACCCAGAGCCTGGACAGCTGCCTGCCTTGTCCCCCAGGCCACTACTGTGGGCAGGAGAATCTGACCCGGGCCTCTGGACCATGTGATGCAGGTGCGCTTCCCAAAGCACCCTAAGAAACTCCCACCTATCCCCGTGCTTCCTACTGCTGTCCCTGGACCTGGGGTGACCTGAACTATCTCCTGGAACAGCTACTGGGAGGAGTAGGCCTGCAGCCTGGGTGAGCTCAGCTTTTGACCCCTGGGGTCCCCAACAGTCCTCTTGCCCCACTGCCTGCCTTTCTGTGCTGATCTCCACCCCAGGCTGGTTCTGCGTCTCAGCAGCCTGGACCGCCCGCCCCTTTGACCTGGACAACTACACCAGCACCAATTGCCTGTGTCCAGCCACGGCCACAGGGGGGAAGTGTCCAGTTGGATCCTTCTGCCCTGAGGGCAGCTCAGAACCCATGCCCTGCCCACCAGGCTCTTTCTGCGCCACCTCTGGTAAGGACCCAGGAGCCCTCTCTGGCCACTGTGCTATGACCCAGGCTTGGAGACGATTGAGAGAAATGGTAGGAACCCACCTTGCTCTTACCAGCTGTGTGGCTGCAGGCATGAACCAATATTTCCCTCTATAAACTGAGAACTGATGTCTGTACCTGCCTGGTCAGGTGGTGTGCTTGGCAAGCCTACAGGAAGGTCTGTGCTAACATAAACTTGCTGCCATCATGGTTGAGTGAACACAGGAGGGTCATTGCAGAATACCAAGGGAGGGCAAGTCTCTCTGCAGAGGAAGGAGCTCGGTGGCCCCTCACTTATGCCCTCTCACGAATCCCCGTGACTGAGTGATGTCCTGAGCACCTGCTGTGGCCAAACACTCCCAGTCACTGAGGACCCAGATATGAACTAGACTCTTCCTGCCCCAGCCTCTGGCCACCCTCAGATGGTAGAGCATAGTGAGGCCAAGACCCCAGCCTCGGCTCAGATCTCAGCTCTGTCTGCTACTACTGACAAAGCCTCAGGCCCTCTGTGAGATGAAAGTGGTACCCCTGTCACAGGGTTGGGTAGAGGAGAGAAAGAGACAAAGCGCTGGGCATAGGCTCAGCCACTCATGCAACTCCCAGTCCTCCGGGGCCAGACACTGCACAAGGACCCCTGTCTGTCTTCATAAGGAAGCTACTCAGCCCCAGCCTGGCACCCCCTCTCGCCCCCAGGCCTGTCCACACCCAGTGGGCCCTGCCAGGCTGGCTACTTCTGTGCCAAAGGAGCAGTGTCCCCAGCTCCAGAGGATGGGCTGACAGGGGCCCCCTGTCCCCCAGGAACCTTCTGCCGTGAGTGTCTCCATGGGCCCCACTCTCAGCCCTACTCGGCCTCCTGCCCAGAAGGCTGCTGACAGATCTTACTTCTCAGTTTGTGTCTGGACCCTGGGGCAATTGGGAAGAAGCCAGAGGGAAAGGGGATGCCGTAGATGGTCCATCCCAAGGCCAAGGAATGTTGCAGTGGGGAGTAGTTAAAGTCACTTGGGATGTTTGCTGTGATTTGAGTTGTTTGATGTGGACAGCTGAGAACCGACAGCAGTGGCTTGTCGCATCAGGAGTCTCATTAGCTGTCAGTGTATGAGCCCACATGATGATCCTCCAGCAGCAGGTGAAGGGCTTGAGTCTCTCCATGTGATGTGGAGGGGCCAGGGAGCTGGGCTTCAGGGAGGTTGGCAGAGATGGGTCCTACAGGCAAGGTCACCATGGGTCCTGCCCCATCTCTGAGGCTGGGCCCACACCTGTTGCCCGTAAGGAGCCTACCCCCTGGACCTGAGGCCTCCCCTCAGCCAGGCCATGGCTTTGCTGCCTCCCTGTGTCCTCAGCTGCAGCATCACACAGGCCAACACCATGTCCTGCTGGCACCTTCTCCGGCCTCGCAGAGCAGACCATGCCCTCTGCATGCCAGACCTGCCCACGAAGCTTCTACTGCAAGGAGGCTGGTCTACAGGCCCCCAGTGGGCCTTGCCCAGCAGGTGAGAGGCAGCAAAGATCTTCAGGTGCAGGGAAGGGGGACAAGGTCTGGGGGGGGGAGAGCGCCCCAAGGGCAGCTGTCTGGGTCCTGGGCTCCACAGCACAGCTCTCAAGGCCCTTGTGGCAAGAGACCCTGTTATGTCTAAATGTCTCAGGGAGAGGAGAGTCCTCCTAAGTGTCCCTCCCTCCTGGCCAGGTTATTACTGCGACTCTAGTGCTGGGCCCATCAAGGACTTCAGCCTATATCCTTGTCCTCAAGGCTATTACTGCCCCCTGGGCACAGCCATGGCCACACACCACAGGTGCCCAGTAGGTACATACGGCCCTCGGAGAGGGCTAAGGAGCATCGCTGAATGCCAGCTGTGCCCTGCTGGGAAATTCTGTGCACTGGCAGGGCTCGCGGCACCAACAGGTATGTCCTGGAGGGCAGAAAAGGACTTCGGCACAGGGTGGGCTTGATTGGTGGGTCCCAGAGCAGGCTGAGGAGGAGATGCTTCAGGGGAAAACTATATGGACCTGGATCACTGGTAAAGATGGGGGACAGAGCAGCAGGGTGTTGGGCAAATATTCCACCGCCTTCCCAAGACCCCTTACATCAGAAACACTGTGTCCCCACATCCCACCCCAGAAAGTCAGGAGGTATGGGGTCAGACCTCAGTGTCTAGTTTTAAAAAGCTTCCCAGGTGATAGGGCACCTGGGTGGCTCAGTGATTGTGTCCGACTTTGGCTTAGGTCATGTCTCACGGTTCCTGAGTTCAAGCTCCATTTCAGGCTCTGTGCTGACAGGTCAGAGCCTGGAGCCTGTTTTGGATTCTCTGTCTCCCTCTCTCTCTGCCCCTCCCCCACTTGCTCTCTCTCTCTCTCTCTCTCTCTCTCTCAAAAATAAATAAATGTTTAAAAAAATTAAAAATAAAAATAAAAACATTAAAACTTTCCAGTGATCTACCACCAAGAATTGGGAGTCCCTTCATCACAGTATACCTGCCTCAAAGTAGAACCACCCCCAGCTGTCTGCTGTCAGCACAGGGTTCAGGGGTTCTTCTAGAGGGCCTTTAACATCTCAGCCCCTGCCCCCCACACCCCATTAGCTTGGGTGGCTTCCCTATGAAATGGCTGGAAATGTTTTGATCAATAAGGAAAATCTAGTCCTGGCAGTTGGCAGTCTCTAAAGAGGGCAAATCTCAAACTGGCCCAGACCCCACAACCACTTTGACCTGGGAACTTGCACTGACTGAACCTGGAAGAGATTCAGGACCCTGCTCATCCGAGGAACAAGGTGGCTTGGGCTGGCTTTGTGTCAGGACACGTATAGTCTATGGCCAACTATGGCCATATGGGCCATATGGGGGAGGGTCTGGGGACAGCATGAGCAGCCCTGTGCCTTGTGGTGTGTTCTCCAGCAAGGGGTACTGTGGGAACAGCTGACAAGATGTCCTTTCTTCTAGGAGACTGTGCTGCAGGGCACTGGTGCAAGGGAGGAGCCACTAGCAAGGACCCCACGGATGGGGCACGGGGACTCCTCTGCCCTGCTGGGCACTACTGCCTTGAGGGTACCTCACCACCTCTAAGTCTACTTCAATGGTGGCAGGGTGGGAGGAGGTCAAGGCCCTTCCAGCCTCCTGCTGTTGAAGGCAGGTCTCTACAGGTTTTGAGCCTTTCTCCCAGCACATGAGCCATGGCCCTCAGTGGAGGGCAGTGCTAAGCTGTGCAGGGCTGAGTACAGGTCCCTTCTCCCCAACATGCCCTCCTGATTCTGCTCAACAGTCCTCACCTTTCCCCTCCCTGGGAACCCTCCTCTAACCTGGCCCTCAGGAAACCTCACTTGAGCAACTGACCTTCCTCCTTTGCCCTGAGGATGCTTTCAGGGGCCTGGTTATTCCTCCCCCATTCTTGCAGAATGGCAAGAATCTTCCTTCCATTCAATAAAGTTGACTCAAGGACTCCAAAGCTGAACTGGTCCCTGCCCTCCCCCTAGAAGCTGAGAAGGGGAAGCATTTCCATCCTGGTCTGCTCAGAGGGAGAAATCCAAGGGATAGAAGCCTAACTCAGTCCAATGTTTCCCTCTGGGCCACTGGGGGCCTCTTCCCTCTGTCACTCTGACTTTTGCAGGAGCTCCTGTCCCCACTCAATGCCCACCTGGTACCTGGTCTGAGGAAGGGAACAAAACCCCAGAAGGATGTCAAGATTGCTCTGGAGGGAGACTCTGCTCTAGCGGCCACCTGACAATCTGGCCAGCACCTTGCCACCTAGGGTAGGCAAACACACCCACATAGATTTGAGGGAACAGTGTCCACAAAGTAAGGAGGCAGTTCCATTCCAGGATTGATTCAGCCAGAGAGCAAGGGGGAGGAAATCCCTACAGTCAGGAAGGAGCCACCCCCACTGGCCTGTGAAGCCTGTGGGCCACTTGCAGACATGCAGAGGTTAAGTCATGCCAGAATTCAAGAAGCAACAGCCTAGGAAGGGTCCCAGGCCCATGCTAAATGTCCATGCACTGCCTGTGGCTGCATGCTCCTCAGCAATTGTCCTTGGCTGAGGCCCTTTTGCTTGGCTCACATTTTTCCAGTGTTTCCTGCACTGGAGGAACTGCCCCTGCCACCCCCATGGAGGGCCTCTCTGGGAGATCCTGCCCCCCTGGGCACGTCTGTCCTCTGGGAATGGTTGACCCCACTTCGTGTCCTCCTGGCTCCTACACCCCTGGCACCCACACAACAAAATGTTACATCTGTCCCAGTGGCCACTACTGTGTTCCAGGGCTGAGGCCTCAGCTGTGTCCAAGAGGTGAGTGTCCTGCCAATAGCCCAGCTGACAACCTTTCTCCACTTCCCTCAAAGGCCTGGCCTATACATTTCTAATAACAAGGTGGTAACTCCGGGATTTACAGAGCATTTCTATTTCCTGGGCAGGAGCCCTGCAGCAGAGATGCCGGGCCTCCATGCTGGACACCAGCCCAGAGCCCAGAGCCTGCCCTCTGTCAGCTTCCTCCCCATCCCCTGCCTCCTCAGTCCCTAATCTTGGCCCATCTCCCTTCCCAGGTTTCTACTGCCCTGAAGGGACGGGGCTTGACTGGCAGCCCTGCCCTCCAGGCACCTATGGCCCTGTGCGGGGACTGAGCAGCCTGCCAGAATGTCAAGCCTGTGATAGGGGCAGGTTCTGCCCAAGTGCCAATGCTACGGAGGCTGGTGGACAGTGCTGGGAAGGCTTCTTCTGCTCCAGAGGGTCCACCCGGCCCAACCCAGAGGCCGACACTGAAGGTACCAGGCCCTCTCTGTTGGACACGGATCCCCTACCCCATTTTCTAACCCCCCCAAATGGGAGGTAGGGAACATATGCAGAGCCCTTCATCCATTCCATCAACCCAAAGAGACTGACGAGCCTGTTCTCTCCAAGAGACCTTGGGTGCCTATCATAGGCTACCTGGGCTCTCACTCGTGGTGGAGGGTGGGGGGCAGGGCAGGCAGGACATGGGTGCCCAGCATAAACAGTGAGTTGGTGTTTGTCTCCACTACCTACTGTCCCTCCTGAGCAGGACAGCCCAAGAACTCCTGTATCCCACACAGTCCAGGCTGAGGGCAAACACCAGGGCAGACCTGAGGAAGCTTACCTTATGGGTCATGGAGAAGTACTCTTCAGCTGAGCCCATGCATTTGAGTCAGCTGGTACATAATGATACTGAGGTTGGGGGAGAGCCAGGTCATCAAATCTGAATATTGGGGGTGGGGCCCATCCCAGGCATGGTCAATATGTTAATCCTCCCAAGTGGTTCTCATTGTATAGCTGAGGGATTGTTCCAATGGTTTTGATCTTTTGGGGCTCAAGTCCTCTTTGGAATCCAGGGACCATAGGGCAAAATCCCATGATTCAGTGCAATCCCTATCTCTGGCAGAAGGGAAAGTGAGGCTCAGAAAAACGGTCTGCTTTGCCTAAGGGCACACAGTCAGTAGCCAACTTGAGTGCTTAGGCCCACTGACCCCGGTCTAGCTTTCTATCACTCTGCAGCTGCCCTTGGGCCTAAAAGTCACACATTCTTATGGAGGCCTAGACTCTGGTGAGGACATTGATGCACAGCTCATCCCACCAGCTCCTGATCCTCCAGCTACAACACCCCTGTCTACTCAGCAACAGCCCAGAACTAGCTGGTTTCCATCTTCAGTCAGCAGGCAGCCCTGGTGGCAGGCCTCTTGGAGCAGGGCCCATGTGGGTTGAGGGAGAGGAGAGAAGACACAGATAAGCACCTCCAGAAACTAGGAAAAAATGTTAAAATACCAATCAGCATGAGAAGGTCTGCAAAGGCCTCTACAGTAAGAGCTGGAATGGGTGATGGAAACCCTGCCTCAGTCTCAAATGCTGTCTGTCCACCCCTAGACCCCAGGGCTTGAACCTTCCAGAGAGGCCCTGCCTCCCTCAGATGCCCTGCTTCCTTCAAGAGCCCCTTCCAGATGCCACCATCCCATGTGAGGACAAGTTTCCCCCGATCTCTTCCCTTCTGTAACAGCAGCATCGGGCTATAGTGGAATAACCAGGTGCAGAGGGTGTGACCAGTGGGGGTGCGGCACCCACAGCCCAATTCCAGGGCCCAGAGCCTATACCAGCAATGCAGAAGGAGTTGTTTGGAGTACCTGCTCCTCACCACTTCCCAGGGGTCAGGCTGACTTGTTTCTTGGTTCCAGAGGAGGCTGGCCCATGTCCTCAGGGACACTACTGCCCCAGGGGTTCAGCCATACCCCAGCCCTGCCCACCTGGCACCTTCAGCACACGGATCAAGCTCAGCTCAGAGGTAGGGAAACTCCAGCCTGGGAGGAGGCTCGGTATGGGAAGAGCACTGTTTGGATCTAGCCAAACCTTGAGGTCAAGGGGGACTGGAGAACAGGGCACCTAGCCGTCTCTTCCATCCTTCAGGTCTGTACGCAAAAGTCGTTTAGCCAGGGAGATCTTCCCTGGCCCTCCTTACCACATATCTTACTCTACCATAGCATTTTACTTACTGGCCTTGTTTATTTTCTATATTCCCCACCAAAATATAAGCACCACAAAGCTAGGGAGTTTTGTCTTTTGCTCACTACTCTATAGTTGGAATAGTGCCTGGCCCATAGCTGGCTCCCAGCACGTACTTGTTGGCTGCATGAATGACTGTACAAGCTGACTTAGGAACCTCAGAGGCAGCAGCAACCCCCTTGTGGCAGGTGCATGTTGGGGGTTGCAGGGAGCACAAGGAGGGAGGTCGGAGAGGGAGTGAGAGGCCAGCTATACAGCACCTGGTGCTCACCTTGAGGACTGCTACCTGAGGGAGATAGAGGCCAAAGTAGGGTTTGAGCAGAGGAGTGACATGAGACATTACTTTATAATACATATTAATATATAACTTATAAAACACCACCATGGGATGCACAAAATTCTATTTTAATTGCTAGGTTCCAAAAGTAATTTTAATATCTGGCTCTCTTCACAAGCCACTCCAAATTGTGGTTTGTAGTTCACCATTCACAGACCCTCCTGTTGTTAGAGAAATATTCCTGGCTTGTCAAAAGGTCCAGGAATGCCAGCTCTCTAGAGTGCTTGGTCCTCCTCACTCAAATGAGCAGAGAGGTCTTCCCTGAAGGTAGATCAGAAGAACAGGCTTCTCCTGTTGTTATTGGTCAAACTACAAAAGAACATGGAAGTAAAGAGGGAAAAAAGAAAGCAAGCAGAACAACATGCTGATAGAGTAGTTTTGGAGTGTTAAGCCTTGACTATCATAGGGAGTTTGTGCCCCACCTGGAGAGTGTGCAAGCAGAATGGAGCAAGGTCCTATCAGGGGTGCTGTAGATGAAGGAAGGTGAACCAAGACAAGATGTGCTCTGACCTGAGGCCCCTTTAAGGCCTTCTGGTGTGGTCTCTGCCCCCCTGCCTTGGCCAGAGCTGGGAGTTGGCATCTTAGTGGGGACATCTCCCACAGGCTGCCTGCTCCCCGTGCCCGCCTGGCCACTACTGCGGCTCTGCAGGCCTCACCAGCCCTTCTGGGCCCTGCAGCACAGGCTTCTTCTGCCGCCATGGAGCCATCGTACCCAATGGCTCCCTGGAAGACGGGACTGGTGGCCCCTGCCCTGCAGGTACCCCCTGGGGACTGGTCTGAAGAGGAACCTAGGGAGATGGGAAGGGAGCAAGCTCCAAGGCTGCCACTCAGACAGGGGCCAACAGTCCCCTGGGCTCTGCAGGAACTGGGCTTAGGATGGGGTTTCCTGTGGCCCTGACCTGTTGGATCTGTTTCCCTTTCAGGGCACTTTTGCCCCCCAGGCACTGTTACCCCGAGGCCATGCCCAGCAGGCACCTACAACAGCCTGGCCTCGCAGGGCCACTGTGAGTCTTGTCCTGAGGGGTGAGTGCTAAGAGGCCGTCCTAGGGGCTCACGTGTCCAGTTGGGCAGAGTTTGCATTCCTGCTACAGAAGGCGGCTGGACCAGATGCTAGCTAAGATCTCTTTCAACCTGAGTTTTCTGTGACTTCAAGAAGTCACTGAAGAACTTCCACACCTTCTAGTCACCTTTCTTTATAACTCTTGATCTCTTTATTGGGTATCACTGAGTCATTCCTAATTTCAAACCTAGGTCTTTTTTGCTGCAATTTAAGCCATTTAAGTCCCACCCGACTCCCCGCCCAGCCCCCTGTGCCTTAGCTGTAATAGAGCTATGATATCGCCAGGTGGGCAATAACTCCTGAGGCCAGTGATGGAAGGCCAGCCCAGGCAGCCTTCTCTGCCCCACGTCACGAAGCTGGGGCTTCCCAGCCCTGTGAGCCCCCTCATCCCCACTTGTCTTTTCTGTAGTTTCTTCTGCCCGGCAAACACCTCCTCGGTGGTGGGAAACAAGTGTCCAGCTGGCCATTACTGCCCTGCTTCCACATCCTTTGCTTCTCAATTCCCCTGCCCCAGGGGCACCTACAAGCCACAGAGAGGGGGTGCCCAGCAGTCAGACTGCACACCCTGTGAACCAGGTAAGGGGATAGGTACATATCCCCAATCCTACCATGTTAGGCCACATCCTCCCTGACCGGTGAGGGCAGGACTCAGGCCTGTCTCAGATGGGGATGCTTTGGCCATAGCCCATGGTGCACACTAGGTCAGCCCACATTCGCTGGCTGGGGTGGAGGTACCCCAATCCCTCTGCTCCCCATGCCTGAGCGTCCTGTCTTTCCCTCTCTCCTACAGGTTCCTACTGCCTCCTACCTGGGCTAGTGGCCGTGTCTGGGCCTTGTAGTGCAGGGTTCCACTGTACTCAGGCAGCGGCTGTCCCAAATCCCACTGATGGGATCACAGGAGACCTCTGTCCACCAGGCCACTTTTGTCCCAAGGGTAGCCCCAAGCCCACTCCATGCCCCCCAGGTGAGTTACCGATGGGGTGGGGTTGGCAACCAGCAGTGCACAGGTCTGCTCTGGACCCTTGAGAGGGGGAAGGAATGAGGGTCCAGCCTTGGGGAGACATCTTGGGAAGGGCACAGAAGAAACCCCTAAACTATACTCAAAGAGCAATGTCCATCCTGAATGCACATAGCATGGGACCTGGGGGTAGAATGATGAATGAGGTGGTTAAGAGCTTGGACCTTGGCTCGCTGGGGGAGGCTTGAACATGGAAGGGTGTATGGCAGAGGCACAACAAGAAGTGAGTGATGCCTTGCAGCACAGATGGGGGGATGAGATGAACCTCAGCTGTCAGGGCTCAGACCTCCAGGAGATGAGGCAGCCCAGGAGGCTGGGGAGCCCGTCAGCCACTGGTCTGTGAGGCCTAGCAGGCAGAGCAGGATCACCACTCGGTTTGAGAGGCGCCACCTTGAGTCTCCATGTGGGAGAGAGGCCCCCTGGTGGTAGCCATGGAGTATATACCTGCAGGCTCTCTCCTGCCCATCCCTGGGGCCATGTCACGGGAGGACTGCCAGCCGTGCCCAGCTGGCTGGTTCTGCTCCAGAGCCGGCCTGAGCTTCCCAGAGGCCCCATGCGAAGGAGGCTGGTTCTGCCCCAGGGCCTCTGTCTCTGGGCATAGTCCAGGTAAGGGTGCAGCCTCCTCACCATTTGGGTAAGGGGGGAGGATGTTATGGGACCCTCAGTGGGCTGGCTTAGAAGGAGACATGCCTGTGGTCTCAGGCTCCTGTGGCCCAAACGCAGTGAGACAGGCCCTTGTGACCTGGAACCTGCCATGGAAGGAGCTGATGACACCAGGTGTTAGCAAGGCTCCTCATGCACCCAGAGCACAGAAAGGGAGAAGGGAGACACTTGGGATGAGTGATAAGAAAAGGAAGAAACAAGACTTTTTAAAAAATCAATCAAAGATGGATAATCCTGTGCTTTGGGGGAGGGAATAAAAATACTCTAGAGCTATATAAGACACTCTAGTGAGAGCAAAGGAAGGGCCTTCACCCCTCATGTACTACCTGGGGTCCAGCAGAGAAGAGGGAGAAGGTCAGACCCCTAGGACAAGGATGCATTAGAGCTCTCCTTAGCAGAGCCTGCACAGTTCTGTCTTGTAGGGCCTCTGTTCTCTGGAGGACACTGCATTTGACACAGCATTTCCCAAACTCACATGTCCAAAGAGCCCATGTTTTAAGAAACATCTGACAGGACAAGGACCCCTGGAAACAACTTCAGTGAGAGATGCTCTGACCTGGAAGCCTGGGGCTGCCTCAGGTACCTTGTGAGGTTCCCAGTTCTAACTCCCACCCTGTGGAGAGCACTGTCTTTCCACCCCTCTCAGTCCCGTCACTGTAGACCTGGTTCCTTCCCACCAAGGGACCACCAGGAGGTTCCTACAGGCCTTCCACACAGGGCTGGTTTTCAGCTGGACCCTCCCCTTTAGGCATATACCAAGGTATAAGAAGCCAGGCCTGGGAGTGTCGTACATCATAAGTACCATGAATCACATGCCCCATCCACTCAGCCACACTCACATGGAGGGAGTAAGAATCATTCTGGGCTCTGGCTGGAAGGAGATGTGGAGTCTCCCAAGAGGGAATGATTGTCTCCCATGGCTTTTCTAGGCACTCTCTGCCCCACTGGGCACTCATGCCCCCCAGGCAGCCTGGAGCCCCAGCTCTGCCCCCCAGGGCAGTATCAGGATGAACCTGGACAGAGTCTCTGCAAGACATGCCCTGCTGGAAAGTGAGGAGCTGTTGCCGGGGACTAGGGTTCCTCCTTTATCTGGGTGACACCTGACCTTTCCTGCCCTCTCTGAGAGTAGAGGGGCTCATACATGTTTCAGGGACCAGTGACCATGGGCACTGCATGCACCCTTACCTTGCAGAACCCAATGTAAATAAAGCCCTAACGCCAATGCAGGGGCTTTGGAGGGCTGCAGACTTTGTGTACAAGACTCATAGGACAGGAGGCCATTGTCCTCCTTGATGTTCATTTCCTCTGACCTCAGATGGTCCTGGGGGGGTTCACTTCTGCCCAAATCCATCATGCTCCAGGAGCTTTCTTCCTCTAGAGGATCCTCAATGCCTAGAAAACCTAGGGATGTAGAAAGCCCTGACTCCTTCATTCTTGACCACCTACTGGCTGTTTCCGCAGGTTCTGTTCCTTTGGGATTCAGAGGCCAGGCGCCAGGCCTATTTGGCCAATGGACTGTCCTGCTGGCTACTATTGCCCTCTGGGTACCTGGACCCCCACCCAGCACCCATGTCCAAGGGGAACCTTCCGAGAGTGGCCTGGTGCACGCAGTGCTACGGATTGTAGACCTTGTCCTGCGGGACAATTCTGTTCAGATTCAGGTGAGAAGAGCCATCTCTCTGGGATTCTGAGGGGTCCTTTTGTGATCCATTTGTCCCAGAGGCACTTAACCTGTCTGAAGGTGACATCCTAGGTCCCGTCCCATCACATATGACCTGTGGCCCTATATAGGGGATGCTACCTGAGGCCTGAACATGGGTATGGGATAGGAAGGCAAAGGCGACCTGGTTCTGACCCCTAAGAATTCACAGTGGGGAAGGGGATGGAAAGAGACAAGAACATGAATATTACAGCCCAAGCATGCTGATTTCTGGCAGACAAGATGTTCTGGATGTCCTGGGCAGGAGAGGGACATCGATCCCACAGGGGTGGAGGCTTCACGGAGTGCTTGCTATGGGCTTTGAAGGTAATGGCCCTGTTCAGGAGTCAGGGGTTTCCGTCCAGAGCAGCAGGGGGCAGGACTTCAGGGAGACCCTGCCAGGACTGAGCCTGAGGATGAGAGAGTAGACATAGCAGTAACCATGTTGCAAAGAGGAGGAAGACAGTATGGTGTGCATTTGTCAGTTTTAGCTGACTACTCCATTTATGTATAGATCATCTAGAACTAGATACAGTAGGGCAGTAAACAGAATAGTGCACGGTACTAAGAAGCAGAAGAAGGGAGGTGTGGATTCCCACAGATGGTCCCCTGGGGATCCCCATAGGAGCATGGGTGTGTCACACCAGAGTAAGACTAGGGGTGTGAGGCATTGGCCCATCACCTGCAGCCAGGGTGGCAAAGCCCTGCACATCTACAACTACCACAGCAGGGCCTGTATTTCTAGGTTCCTAAGTGAGCACTCATTCATTTTGGCTCTATATGATCCTATGGCATGTGACCAGACAGGCCTTTTAAGCTCATTTATCGTCACAATAGAGATGCCATTTTACAGATGACAAACCTGAGTTGAAAGTGGCCTCCTGCACAGGGAGTGAGCAGCAGAGCTGGGAGGGGATGCAGAGTCTGGCTGCAAAGCCTGGTACCTTGAGCTTCAGGACACACCACACTTCCCAGCTTAGGCACAGTTCCAGGTGCTCTTCCAGGTCCCTTTTTTCCCTTTCCTTCTCATTTAAAGCCAGGCTCACTGTCATAGACTCAGCCTATCTCCACCCCCTCTCCATAGGATCCGGGAAACCCTTCCCAGATGGGCCATGCTCAGCAGGTTATTACTGTCCTCCTGGCCAGACCTCAGCCACCCCTACATCTTTCCGGTGTCCCCGTGGCTTCTACTGTCCAGAGGGATCTCCCCAGCCAAGGGCCTGTGAGAATGGAACATTCCAGCCCCAGGAGGCCAAGGGGTCTTGTGAGCCCTGCCCTGCAGGATTCTACTGTGAAGCATCAGGCACAGGTGAGCTGATGAACACAAGGTCCCCATATGGTGCTGGGTCCCAGGGGAAGGTTCCAGTAGTTTGAGCCCCTGTAAGAGTGATGCCTGATGAGCAGGAGGTCCCCTCCCTTGTTCAAGAGAGAGGGGAGGGACTAACCTGAGGTGGCACAGTAAATCGGCTCCGTACAAGAGACCCCTGGTATCCTCCCTTATGCATTCATTTAGGTTTGGCTTTAGAATGTATCTCAGGAGTTCTTATGCCAGAATCTTGGTTGTCATAGTCATAGTGTTATGATCCACATGCAGCCTATGACAACTGGCAGCAAAGCGGAGGGAAGGGAACCCTGAAACAGTCCAGGTACGAGGTAAAGGCAAGTTAGGGACTTAAGCTGGGAGGAGGGATTGCATGGTGACTCACCAGGATGTCCAGTGCCCAGCTCAGGATGGTAGGCACTACATGCAGGACAGAAAAATCTGAGGTCTAGGACCCTAGGATCTAGTTGGCTGTGGCCTGACTCGGTGTCCACACTCAAGATCATGATATGGTCTTGTTCCTATTTAGAGATACACAGGTGGCTACTGACCCAGCAGAGCCCAGGAGCAAAGAAGTGGAGTCTTCAGACCACTGCATGGGTGGTGGACCTAGTGTGCCCAGCATGGGCAAGTGCCACCTTATAGAGAAACGGAGTTTTATGCTCAAGAGTCAGCCTCAAGGCTAGAGATCTCACAAGGCTACAGAGGTTTCTTGGGCAATACACCTTCTGCCACGATGACAGACGGACAGCCTTTGAGGGTCCCTCTCCCACCCAATATGCCCCGGAATTAGACAAAGAATAAAGCACCTTGACTGAGGGGCTGGGCCAGGGCAGCCTTGGAGCTGGGGGGAGGGGGGTCCCAAGTCTCTGACCAGGATGCTCAGAAGGTAGGGCTCTTACTGCAAGCTCAGGCTGACCTTGCCATTGCACCCTAGGTCTCACAGCCGGTGGCCCCAGCCTGTGCCTCCAGGGCTACTTCTGTCCCCCTGGCTCCCACTCAGCCACTGCCCACCCATGCCCTCGGGGGACATTCGGGCCCAAGCGAGGGGCCAGTGCAGAACTGGACTGTGAGCTGTGCCCAGCAGGTTTGTGGACTCTGGACAATGAGCCATTAGAAAGCCTAGACTAAAGGGCTGAGGAGAGAATAAGGAAAAGTAGAAGGAGGACAGGCAAACAAATCCATTAGGGAATGTGCCTTGGTCCCCTGTGCCCATATTGCCATGGCAGCCCCTCATATGCCTAACAGCTGGGTCAAGGTAAGCAAAGTCAAGTCCAAGCATGGGTCAGAGCCCCATTGATCTCCTGTAGGCCCACAGTCCCCACCATCCTTTGGATTCTCCAGGCCTCTTCATAGCCTGTGCTCCAGCCTACCCCACATGTACCTCTAGGGCTCAGGGTGAGACCAACCCCCATGTTTTCTTCAGAGACCAGGTATGGCTGGAAGAAAGCACTGCCCTGGGCAAGGCAGCTCCATGTGTCTCTAGCTCATTCTGCCCCTCACTCGTGACTCTGCCTGGCCATCATGCCAACACCCTGTGCTAGTCTGAGAGCCTGGGGAGGGGAGGAGCATGTGGGGCATAGCCTAAGAGAGGCAGGGCTGGTGCCAGAGCCAGAGGGAGGTGGGAGGGGTCCTTCTGTCACCTGCCCCTTGGGTCTGCTTCTTATAGGGATGTTCTGCTCATCAGAAGGGCTGTCCCAGCCATCAGGGCTCTGCCACGCAGCCCACTACTGCACAGGAGGTGCGGTGTCTCCCACCCCCCTCAAACACAAGGTATGTAACACTAGGCACGTGCCCCCAGACATGTGTCTTGAGTCCACCCTGAACAGTGATTTGTTTTATTTTAAAGCATTTGCCTTCTTGTGTGACATCTTGGGTTTGATGGCATGTGACAATAATAGCAGTAACATAAATAGAGCCTTTAGTTGGTACTGGGCAATGTTCATGTGTCACATACACATTGACTCAGCAGTCCTCGCAATGGCCCTGTGGGAGGCCCCAGGGTTACCCCACTTTAGACATGAAGAAACGGAGAAGCATGTGGAGTAATGGATGTTCTCAAAGCCACATGGTGAGAAGGTGACCATCAGTATATTAGATCATTATACTGTAGAGTAGGGTAGTGGAGAATCAGTTGTGTGGATGGACTCATGGACTCATGTTGGACAGACAGATGGACAGATGTGTATTGGTGTGTTAGCTGATTGTCTCTGATTCTCATTTTGTTACTGACCTGTGTTGTGACCTTGGACATACCTGCCCCTTGCCCTAACTTCCATTTTAGAACATAGACTGCCCCAATCCTACATTGATGCCACAGAGAAGAGACAAGGTCAGGGAATGAGGAAGAGAGGGGGAGGAGGTCAATACTATATTTAGGAAGTAAGAGACACTTCCCAGACCTCCTAGTTCATCCTCCATAGGCCTTTGACTGACACAGTTGGAAGCACATAGTAATGGGATGATTTTGCATGTAATGCTCTTATTTGAGGTCTCCCCACCCCCAGGTGCCAGCAGAGGTGTTTGCAACCTGAGACCACAGCTCTAATATAAAGGCCTTTCTTCCTTCTCTCTGACTGACAGGTGGAGGCCCCAGGACTTTCTGGGAATGATATCTGCCCTCCCGGCTTCTTCTGCCCCAGGGGAACAGGCTCCCCAATGCCATGCCTGCCTGGGTCTTACTCCTCTGCCCCAGGCCTGGCCAGCGAGGACCAGTGCCAGCCGTGTCCTCCAGGGCACTACTGCAGCAACCCTGGGCTCTCCCACGTCCCAGAGGCAGAACTCTGCGATGCAGGGTGAGGGGGCCCTGACCCTGAACTCCTCAGGTGCAAAGAAGGAGGAGGGTCCCTAGGTCAGGCCTGATAGGGCCCCAAGTTACAGATCCCATGGTCTCTCCCCAGTCCCTGTAAGAAGCCTGAGCCAGGGTAACTGTCGCCTAGGATGTAGGCCTCTGATGTGTTGTCCCTTTGATATAGGACTGAACTGATCCCACCCTCCCAGCACTGACCTTCCAAGATCCAAGGAATGCCAGTGTGCCAGGACAGCCCTATGTCCCACTAAGTCTCAGGGCAGCCTCCACACCCTCCACTACCAGGCTTTGGTCTTTTCCTCATTGGCCAATGGCCAACCTGTGTCTGAGATTCCTGACAGGTACATTTTCTCCTCACTGTTGAAAGGGCTGGAGACTGGCCACCAGTAAGAAGGAAGTCCTGTTCCATCGGTTCACAGGACAGAAAAATCTTGGAGAGGGAAGACATGCTTATCCTGGAAAATGTCTGACACTTCCCAGAACTGTGCCTGAGCCCCTACTGTATAGTTTCCTATCACAGGGGCAGAGACATGTTTTAGAGTTGAGGACCAGAGGACCTCCTTCCATCCCAGGGATGACACTTGGCTGTGGCCATACTGAGCTTGTCCTCAGCACAACTCTGATAGCCTGGGGCTCCAAAGGCTACCCCTTTCTCTCACCTTTTGCTTGGCCAGGACCCCATCATCATGCTAGAAGTGGTTCAGCCACAATTCTTCATTTCCTCAGGTATATCTGCCTGGGAGGCAGTGCTGTGCCCTCACCTTCTGATGGAACCCATGGATACAGATGTCCTCCTGGCTTCCACTGTCCCTCAGGGGCTCACAGTGAGCAGCCCTGTGAACCTGGCACCTTCAGCCCATTGCCTGGGGCTGACACCTGCCTGCCTTGCCCAGGAGGCACCTACTGCCAAAATGTTGCTACCGTGGAGCCCACCACCTGCCCCAAAGGTAACGAATGCCCTCAGATCAGCCTCTTCCATCACTCTCAGGGGTAGAGGGACATTAGACATGACTGCAATGGACAGCGCACCTCAGGGTTCACTGTAGTTGGCGCCCCCGGCTCCCAAAGCTCGACTCTGTCCTGGCACTGAATGCTCGATGGCAAAACCTCAGCCCTCCCTGGCAGTCAGAGACTTTATAAGTCTCTGACTTATAAAATGGGGCTAATTATGCTGCATAAGGAGGACACAGGGTGAAGGTTGCTGAGGACTGCCAGGGCCTCCCTCACACAGTCTGTGACCAGCCTCATATATTCATACCTCCCTATCACCGCAGGTTTCCAGGGTGCCCAGAAGGTAAGTGTGCATATTCTATGGAAGGAGGAACACAGATCTGAGAGGCTGGAAATTCTGGTCAGTCCCATCCTGATCCTAAGGTGCTGCTGTCCTTGGACAGCCACCACCTGTCTGCAGAGTGAAACCAGAGGATTTTGAGAACCCCACCCTGAAAGAGTTGAGTAAATGCCCCCAGAGAAGACTACAGCATGTCTCTTGTGAGACTCTTAACCAGGTTGCCTGTTGGAATGCTTCTAGGGCAGCTATTTCTTGAGTGGGAATACTGAGGGGTTGTTTGAGGTACACATGACCCCACTTTCTCTAACACAAGAAACTCTCTCTCCCAGGCCTATCAAGCCAGACCAGACCTATTACTCATTCTTACTATGTAATGACTCCAGAAACCTCAGTGCTGACGTCCCCACGCACACATGCACATGCATGCCCACACACATGCACACAGGCACACCTCTGCTGCCTGCACAGACCCCTTAAAGCTCCCACCCTCCTAGCCTGGATTCTAACCCTCCCCGCCTTCTCCCACCACCTAGGCCAGCGTCCTCTTCCCTGTCCTTCAGCTGTGCTCTCTGCATCCCTCTCAGGGCTTCCCTCACTTCTCTGCCATAAATGATGAGGTTGTAAGGCCCAGGGAGTAGCTATGGGGTTGGGACACTTGGTGTCCACTTACTCATATCTTCCCCACAGGTCACTATTGCCCAGGAGGGACACCCTCTGCTCTTCCCTGCCCGGAGGGAACCCTGAACCTACGGGAAGGTGCTCTCTCCCCCAGGGCCTGTCAGTCCTGTCCTGCAGGAAGATACTGCCCTGGTGAGGGCAACGGGCAGACTGAGGGTAAGTACCAGCGACCCAGAAGAGCTATGTCCCAGCCCCACTGCAGAACTGCCCGCAGTGCACTTCTTGGCAGGGCCACAGCATACGTCTGGGTCTGGCTGCCTACCTCGCTGTGACCTCCTGCCACTTCCTCCCTTGGGCCCTGCTCCTCCCTCTCTCCCCCAAAAGTCCTCAGCCTTGTGGCCAAGAGCAGGTTCTTATTCTAGCTCTGAACTTAGTGCAGGTGTGACCTTGGACAAGTCACTTAACCCCTCTGACCTCTGTCTCCTCCCTTGTAAAATGGGGTGATAACTGTACCCACCTTCCACAGTTGCTATGGGGAGTGTGGTCCCTACAAACAGGAGCTCAGAACAGTGCCTGGTGCACAATAAGTGCCCACAGCTGTCATCTCCTATAGCTACACCTCACCCTAGATTCCAAGTGAAAGCCACCAGCTCAGGGCCATGGACACCATAGGTGCTCAGTAATCCCTTGTTTCCCTGACTTTTCCTTCCTCTTGCCTTAATTTCCATGATTCTCTGGGGTTTGGGATAGCAGGCAGGGACCAGGGAGGAGGCAAGAAAAGGGTCTTCCACAGCACAGGCAGCTGGTAAGGCTTCTGATGCTGCCCTAAAATTCTAGTCTTTCTGTATCCAAGGACCCTGCTCAGCTGGTTACTACTGTGAGGGGGGAGCTTCCAGCCCCACTCCCCAGAGAAACTCTGCCTTCCCCCTCAATGGACCCTGTCCCCGAGGCCACTACTGCCCCCAGGGGACTCTGTACCCTGTGCCCTGCCCGATGGGGACAACAAGGAGGAGCCCAGGTGAGCATCTGACTTGTACTTTCCCACCCCCTCCCAGCTGTGGGCCCCTCCTTCTTCAAAATCCCAGTGTTAGCACCGTAGACACAAACAGCACAACAGAAGCATCTGTTTGTCAGGGTTTCTGGGGCTCCCACTAGGGTGGACATGAGGCTGGGAGACAGGCCTGTGCCTAAGTGTGGATGTTAGGGCTTCCCACCCAGGACAAGGTCCACTCCTCCACCCTTTAGACCATGCCCAATGGAGGGCTTTGTCTGCAAAATGCAGGGCTGTTCTTTTGGCCAACCAAGGCAGAGATGCCCTAAGCGAGGCTTTGATCAGTGGCTACTTCATCCAACACACATTGTGCTAGGCACTGGGATGTGGCAGCAAGCCAAGCAGGGAAAATGTCCTGTCTTCAGGACTTGATATTCCAGCATGGGGACAGAGCCCATGAAGTTCAACCTCCTTATCCAGGTGGCACCTCCGAGGGGAGCTGCGGGCCCTGCCCAGCTGGCTCCTTCTGCCCTGGCCTGGGCCTTAGCTCTCCTATCAGCTCCTGTGTGGCTGGCTCTGAATGCCCCTGGGACCTCAGGACCTCCAGCCCCATGGCCATCCTCTGTCCTCAGGTACTTCCCCAGGAGCTGCAGAAGGGAGCCCAGTCCCCAAGGCTTGGGAAACCAGGGGTCCCCACCCAGGATTCAGGCTGGAGCCCTCCAACTGTGGGCCTTAGGCCAGCTCTTGGTGCCTTGTAGGAGGGACCTCAACACTCCCATCTCCCAGGCCCCAGTTCTTTCTCCAACTGGCCCACCCAGCCTCCTGGCTTCCTGCACTCCAGTCACCATGACCTGAACCACCTAGAATGAAGGATAACTCCATGACCTTCCTGAGCCCCTGAGCACTCAGCCATACCCGACCTGGCTCTCAGAGGTGCCATTTTGTGTCCAATGCCCAGGGTCACTTCTGCCAACCAGGGTCTGCTTGGCCTGTCCTGTGCCACCAAGGGGAGTACCAGCCATCCCTAGGTTCAGACTCCTGCCTCCTGTGCCCACCTGGCTTTCACTGCCCGCATCCCAGCACCAGAATGCCCAGGCTCTGCCCAGCACATGCCTACTGCCCAGCCGGTATGCCCAGGAACCCTCAAGTCCCCATGCATCCCAGGCCTTTATCTTTCTCCCTGAAATGCTCATCTTCCTTCCTTCTTTCCTTCCTTCCTTCCTTCCTTCCTTCCATTCATTCAAACTCCGTGGAGTGCCTACTGCATGCCATTGCACTAGGACTGCCAATGGGGAAGAGCACCTGCACAACTTCCATCCTCCCCTCACTCCTACCCATGCCCATCCTGACCGCCCCCCATTTCTTTTCTTCTCTTCAGCATGACGCACCCATGCTCAATGTCCTGCCTCTTTCTTACACTCAGCCTGGGGACCCAGGGTGAGCACCTGGATCAGGATGATGGCAAACAGATGTCATAACCTGTGCCAGGTCTGGGCCAACAATCTGGGAGCAGCTTCCTGAGCACCACATGGAGAAGGGCTCTGTGGTGGTGTTGGGGTGCAGGAAGTGGAATCTGAAGATCAGAAGGCAATGTCCCAGTGACCATGAGTTCACTCTCCTCAAGTCTGAGTCCAGTCACCCTGAACACACTGTGAATTAGCCCATGCTCACCCAAACGTTTGCATGCACATGTGAATACATACACTCATGCACAAGTATACATACACAGGGTCATAGTGCACACATACAAACTCACATGTGTGCACACATGTACAGATGCACACACAGTGTATGCAGACACATGCAAATTCACACACGCAAATGCATACAAACATACATGTGTTGTCCCAGGCAGCCTGGCAGACAAGCACGTATCCACAAAAGTTCATAATCTTTGCCATGTCTTACATAAATTTGGGGAAAATCTTCCTGAAAATTTTAGGAGTTGTATGTTACCTTTGCAAGTATTTGATCCACAGTTAATGCATACATTTGTTCTTCCTTTCATATATATATTTAATGTTTATTTATTTTGAGAGAGAGAAAAAGAATGAGCACAAGCGGGGGAGGGGCAGAGAGAATGGGAGTGAGGATCCCAAGCAGGCTCCACACTGTCAGCGCAGAGCCCAATGCAGGGCTCAATCTCATGAACCATGAGATCATGACCTGAGCTGAAATCAAGAGTCAGACGCTTAACCAACTGAGCCACCCAGACACCCCTACCTTTGTTCTTTTTGTGACTATGTTGTGAAAGGTATATGTACCCCTTTCAAATGAGTGACCTCTTACCCCAGAATATTTACAACATTTCAAGTTCAAAGAACTTGGCCTGTTGTCCCCACAATTACAGGTTGTATTAGTCACACACACACACACACACACACCCACACACACACAGGAAGTACAGGTGCCCTCTGGGAAGCACTGTTCACCTGGCTACCCAGACCCTCAGCCCAATCTTGCTGAAGTCCTGACTCTCTTTAACCTTCCCTAAGTAAACTCACACCTTTCAGCTTCTTACTTCTGTTGGTCAGGAATTTTTTTTTCAGTATATCCAGCTGCTCTCTTCAAACTTTTTCCCTGCTGGGGGACTTCTCTTATTTTCCATCCCAGGTGTATACTGGGGTGCGCCTGACACAAAGCACCACAGCCCACATACACAAGACAATGCTGAGGTCAGCAAAGCCAGAGGATGGCCTCCAGGCCACTACAAGGGCCACTGATGTAGTGGGGTTGGGGGGTGACCCAGGTTAGAGAGAAGAGAACCACAACCGAGCAGGCCAGGCAGTAAGGCACTGTGGAGGTGGTGGCTAGGAGGGGAAGGCAGCTCCCAAGAGAGATGTACTTAGTATGGACTGACTGGTCCCAGCTCAGTCCCAGAGAGCCCAGTGTCTGATACAGAGAAGGCAACTCCCTGAGCCCATTGGCTAGATTAATAGCCCCTCACCCTCAAATAAGCTTCACTGCTATCTGGAAATTCTTCCCTAGGGAGTTACTCTTTTTAAGAGGACAATAATCCTAGGGGGAGAGACTAAAGTCACAGCCATTTCAGCACTTTGAAGACTCTGAGAAAGCAAGGAGAAAAACTCAACACCATGGGGACTGTGGGATACTGACAGGTGGGGGGCCCAGTCACTAATTACTCCAGGTGTGGAGGAGGTGGGTCCACAGACCCTCATGTAACCTGAGCCCTCAGCTGCCCATCTTCACCAGCTACCCTACCCTCTCCAGGAACGTGGTCCCCTCTTCCATGTCCTCCAGGGACCTTCACTCCCCAAGATGCATCAGGCCTCCGGGAAGAGGGTGACTGCTCCGTCTGTCCCCCCGGTAACTACTGCAGGTCAGTGATAGTCCACGGTTATTCACCTCCTGTGCTGCCATCAAATTCTATCCTCTGGGTGAAAAGACGCACTGGGCCCCCTGGCCTTCCTCAAGGCCCCCACGCTATTTGTGGGGCAGTTAAAGTGTGAGGGGCCAGGGCCAGCTGTAAGACTATAGCCCCACCTGGCCACACAGGTCTGAACAGGGAGTCAAACCCGACAATTAGGTGAAGAGAGCCAGGACAATGGGCACAGACCTAGATTTTCTTTAAAAAATAATAAATACATTCAAATTGAGCGAGGGTCAGTATGAAATGAACATAGCTCTGCTCAGTCCTGCCTAAAAACATGGGGAATTTCCTTAGAGGCAAAATTCTATGTGCCTGTAGGTAATACACATACACTCAGGGGAAAAGATGAACAATCCTTCCTTTTACCTCTATCTCTGAATTTTCCAAAATGTGAATAGCTTTTATAATCATTAGGGCTAGAAAGACAATAAATGGTACCCATAAACAGAATAATCAGAGAGCAGGCCTCAGGATGCCCAAATTCTGCCTGAATGTCCTATACTTACTTGTTATGTATGTAATTTGTGCAATGGGGACATTCTCCCTGTAGCAGGAGAAGCCACTGGAAGAACTCTGTACTTGGGATTCAGAGACTCACAACCTCCAGGGCTGGATAAGGGTTCCCCAGTCTCCCCTGAGGCCTTGGAGACAGGCCTAGCCTCTCAAAGTGGCCCTCGGCCCAAATCTCCCAGAGTAGCCAGACTAAAGGAAAGCACACTGGGGATATCTGATCCAGAGGAAGCTCCCAGCTTTCGCTGAAAGCATGTAACTCCCAATTTCCTGAGACTGGAAAGAGGGGTTTTCGAAAGAAGAGCTGCTCCATTTCATGCAGAGGTGAACCTGCTTCAGAGCAGATTGTTTTCTCCTGAAAAGTGAAAGTGGAGAGTTCCTCAGATGCTCTTTCTGGAGGATCATCTCCCTATACTCAGGAAGTTCGTCCTTTGATCTAGCCTGCACTCTGCTGAAGAGTTGGAGATCAGACTGGTGGCTGTCAAAGCTCAGGCCTCGGGACCTGGCAGGCCCCAGGCACTCACTGGGGGCAATGCAGGAAGCAGCTAGAACACCTGCCAGTCTTCTCCCTCCTCACTCCACAGTGAATGTGACAAGGCCACAAAGATCCTCCAGGGGGAACTTGTCCTGCTGTCGCAGCCCTGGGTCCTCATCTTTATCCACTGGGCTCCACAAACTCAGTGGAGAAGAGACACCCAGGAATCCATCTTTTCCTGAAGGACGTGCAGAGGTTCTTCGAACCCTGCACTGGGCCCAGCACCCCTGGGTCTGACCCTCGTGCCCTGTTTTGTTGCTGAATGAAGTATCACATCCTGTTTCTATCATATACGTGGGTATAGTCATGTGTTGTCCTGGGGCAGAGGTCAGAAGCATTTCACACGCTGGGTCAGCATGAAACTGTCTAAAACAAGGGCCTGGGTCTCCTCTGGTTCTGGGGCACTGGGCTCGGATCACCCCTTCTACCCTGATCTCACTCTTCTCCCCCTCTCTGTACTGTTAGAGGTGGACAGGTGTGGGGGAAATGTCCTGCTGGTTATTACTGCCCCCCTGGGTCCTCCGAACTGATAACACAAGGTCCCAGGGAGTCTCAGACCTCGTGTCCCCAAGGACAGCTGTGTGCCAAGCAGTGCCCACCAGGTAACAACCCATTTCTTTTCCTTGGGGTGTGAAAGAGGCAGAGAACAAGGTTGCTTAGCTGTCACCACCAGACCCACTCAGGGAAAGGATTTTTTTTTTAGCCAAAAACAAATTCTAAAAATAGTTGACACCCACACCTGCCTATCTCAGTCAGCAGAGCATGCATGCAACTCTTGATTTCAGGGTCATGAGTTCAAGCCCCATGTTGGTCATAGAGGTTACTTTAAAAAATCATAAAAAGTAGTGGACCCCAGTGTTATACATCTAATATGTATCTGCATATGCATGTGTATGTAATTGCATACATCATATGTATGCAATATGATAGGCACCTAATGTAATTCAGATGGTTAGTGATTTGACAAACATCTTATGTGGAGCCAGGACTGGCATCCAGGCCTCTCAACTCCTGGGCCAGTAGAATCCCCCAGGCCACCCCTGGATACATGCTGTTGCCAACCTGCCATGGTGGAGCAGCCTCCCTGCCTTCCACAAGATCTGGTGTGACCCCATGTGCTCCAGGTTTTTACTGCCCAGAGGGCAGTGGAGAACCCACCTTGTGTCCACCTCACACCATGGCGGCTGCCCCCGGAGCCAAGCAGCGAGAGGAATGTGGGCCTTGCCCTGCTGGGCGCTGGTGCAAAGCTGGTGAGATACCTGTACCAGGAGTGCACTGGTCGTGAGAAGGGCAGAGGGAGGCCCGCTGGGCAGGAAGAGAGGACAGAAAGTGATCACAACCTTTGCTCTCCAGGGGACCCGGCCACCCACCCCTGCCCTGCCGGCCACTACTGCCCTGGAGGGAGTGACACCAGCCCAGGAACCCCTCAGGCCTGCCCTGAACACACCTATCTGCCTGCAGAAGGAGGCCAGAGTCTGGCAGAGTGCCTCCCCTGCCCTCCTGGATACCTCTGTGTATCCCCAGGTGAGAGGCTACCTCTAGGCCAGAGACTGAGACCTCTGTGGAGGAGAGATAAGAGGCCATCAGGGGTCCCATGGCCATGCCTGCTGTTTTTGCCCCCAGGTCTCTCCTCCCTTGAAAGCCGCCTTTGTCCTCCAGGCTACTGGTGTCCAGGTGATCAGGGTGCCTTCCTCTGCCCACCTGGCACCTTTCGGACAAAACCAGGGGCATCATCAAAAGAAGACTGTGAGCTCTGTCCCCCTGGCCACTACTGCCCCCAGGCCGAGCTGAGGGATCATGCAAATGTGTTTGTGATCCCCTGCAGAGCTGGATTTGAATGCCCTGCAGGTGAGACTGCCTGGCCTGTCCCTCCCTCCCCAGCCACTGCTCCCATCCCTTGTACTCTCACCCCCGAGGCTTAGGCCAGGTGCTCAGGCAAGTCTTATCAGCGCGTCATGCAGGCAAGGCATGGCCACCTGCTTGTCCTAGCAAGCTGTTTGCCCAGCCCCCCATGGCCCACTCAGTCTTGGTTGGATCTGTGCCACCTGTATACCCTCAAGACCAAGGTGCACTGGTCTGTTCCTGTCTCCCTCAGGTGCTGTGGCTGAGGTCACTTGTAGAGCTGGCTCTTACTGCGAGACCCAGACAGGGATCCCCCCGCTTTGTCCTGGGGGCTATGCCTGCCCTGCTGGCTCCTCCACCTACACTGGCCCAGGGCAGCTGTGAGTACCCTCCCCTGCCTGTGTGTCTCAGCCTCAGGGATCTCCAGAGAGGAGTCAAACCCCTGAGTCCCAAAGGATTCAGGACCCCAAGACAAGTACTGGGCAACCCTTTGCTTGGACTTCCCAGCTACAGTGTTCACATGCCTCAGTCTCTGCCTCTGGCCTTAAAAAGGAAGGGAGGGTGAGGAAGCAAATCCCACTGAGATGCCCTTCATTAGTTTCCAGGGCCATTTTGTGTGGGGCAGCCAGATTTAGCAAATAAAAATACAGGAAAACCCAGTTGAGTATGAATTTTAAGTAAACAACAAATGTCTAGTATAAGTATGGCCCATGCAATATGTGAGAGTACTTATACTCATTGTTTATTCATTGTTAATTACCACTGTTTATCTGAAATTCAAATACGACTGGATGCACTGTATTTCATTTGGCAACCCCAATCCTGTGTCCAGGACTGACACTCCCAGCACTCCCACTGTGTCCCCCCATCCAGAGCCAGTCAGATTTGTTCCACTCATTCCTTTGCCCAGGGTGAAGTGGGCAGGGAGCACAGGTCTGGCCACTGCCCAATGACCTGGCCAATGGATGTGGCTCCCTCCTCCAGGATGACACCTGGACCTACTTAGTCCTCACTGGACACAAAGCCCAGCCCATGACCCCCTGTCTGGGATAATATCAGAGCTGCCCCTCCCCCAGGCAGCTTAAGGGTTAAGCATGGGGAATGTCGATGGGGGAGTTGAGGGGAACCCTGCTAGCGAGATGAGAGCCAATAGCACACACAGCCGCTTATCAACATGAAACTAGAGTCTTGGGCTCTGTGTCTCTGTGCAGCTGTTTGTTTCCCTATTACTGTCCCCTGGGCAGTGCCCATCCACGCAAGTGCCCTGGGGGCTCCGAGGCACTGAACAGGAGTGGCCTCAGGGTCTCAGAGGAGACTTGCTGCCACCTCTGTGAAGCAGGCACCTACCGCAGCCTGGCTCTGGATGCCCAAGCCTGCCAGCCCTGCCCCCCTGGATTCAGCTGCCACCAGGGTGAGTTTGGGAAGCCTGGATGTGAGCAAGAGAGGGGGGCTGGGGCCTTGAGTCAGAATTGGGCAGAGCCCGGTGAGGAAGATGCAGGTGGCAGGTAGGGAGGACCCACAGAACCCCTGGGAGCAGGCAGAGGAACAGGGGCTAGTTTTTCTCAGCTAGACCAGCCACCTGATGAGAAAGACCCAAGAACATGGGGAGGACACAGGTGAAGGAAGATTCAGAGAAAGTAGGTACCACAACTGTCTTGATGTTAGTTTTTAAAAGACCTAAAAATTACAGACTGTACATCACATCGTACAAATTAGCATACTGGAGCGAGTGGTCCAAGTGCTCTGAAAAACAGGACAACCACTGCCCAGTGTGTCAGCAATGCTGGGCATTCTGCTCTGTTTGCTAGAGGGATGGAAGTGCATTCTGTGGTGCCCCAAAAGTCAAAGAGGACTGTTTTGGGGGGGGGGGTAGATACAATAAAGCACAGAGCCTCCACTGTCCTCCCTACAATCTAGATCTGCCCTCAACAGTATTTGCTTTGCTATCTCCCTCCCACTTTCCGCCCCACCCATACCCCAAGTTCATTCTTCCCCTGGACTCTGCCATTTCTTAGTCCCCACCTGAGCTGGAGTCCATGGCTCAGAATTTCCCCTCCATTTCCCTCCAGGAACAGAGAGTTACCAGAGCCAGCCCTGCCCAGTGGGGCATTACTGTCCAGCCAAGACTCACAGCCCCAGGCCCTGCCCCTCAGGAACCTTTGGAAACAGCAGCCAGGCAGGGGCAGTTGGAGAGTGCCTGCCATGCCCCGCAGGCACCTTCAGTGCCCATCCTGGCCAGGCCAGCTGCCTCCCCTGTGGGAGCTCTTCTTTCTCTCCACCTGGTGAGTCTCCACCCATGCCCACTCTCTAACTGGCTAATTGCCCTGGTCTCCAGATATGGGTCCCAAACACACCATTTCTCCTGTCCCCTGAAGTTTTGAGGGTCAGCAGTGTAAGCTTTCAGAAAACCACATTATCACCAAATATGGTTGTTCTACAAAAGCTGAAGTGAGAGAATGGGCGACCCTGTGACTCTCACTGTCCCAGTGTGGTGTGTGTACGTGGATAAAATAAGTCTGTGCAAAGACTTCAACAAGCAAGTGAATGAATGTGAGGGAACAAGCTCAGAGAGGTCAAGCAACTTGCCCCAGATGATTCGGCTAATGGAGGAGCCAGGACCCTGCGCTGAGACTGGCCAGTTGGTTCCGATGCTGCTGCATGTGCTTAAAGGTAGGGGCAGCCACATCCAGCTCTCTCAAGCCGACCCTTGTCTTAGCATCTATGTGGCAGGATCAGGCCCAGAGACATAAGCACAGCACTCAACCATGGCCACTGGCTCCTTGCTGATACCTGTCACCTTTCCTCATTTCACATAGGTGGTCTTCACATGGTTTTTGTGTGTGAACCACTTGTGCATGATCCATAGTACAAGCAGGATAAGTAACCAGATAATCCAATAGCAGGAAATTAAGGTCATCAGAATCATATATATTTAGCCTCAGGGCTGACCCCAGATCTCCACAGATGCCAGGTACCATTGGTACCATTGTAAGTGCCGCCCTAATACCAATCCTCATACCAACTCTATTAAATAGGTGCAGTTACTATCATTCTTGTTTTGCAAACATGTCAACTAAACTGCAGAGAGTTTAAATAACTTGCCCACAGTCAGGTAGTGGCAGAACCAGGATTTGAACCCCGTCTAGCTGACTCCCACATTCCTACTCTTAACCACCATGCTATGCCACTTTCAAATGGTGTGATTTGAGGTTTCCAGGGATTCTACCATCACTTCTTGTCTCTGGGATTCTATATCCTAGGTGACAGAGCCCTGAATCCAGTGATCCCTCAGGACCTGGAGATCAGGGGCTGAGTGAAGCAAGTCCCAGTGGTTGTGTTGTCCAAATTGCATTTCATTGGCTTCTACATAGCAATCTAGTACAGCCCGTTTCTTTAGTTATTGAGAAATATATTTTAACTGGTTTATCTTGGAGTGATCATGATGGGATTAGAGTTACACCTTCTATGGGCATGTGATTATAATTTTTGCGGTAGAGATGACCTTTAGGTCACACTACTTACATTTTTTTCAGGCTGAAGTTATTGCAGCTGTTCTCTGTGACATAGAACCCTGGGGCTATCTTAGTCTTCTTAGGCTGCCATAGCAAAATACACAGAGTTGGTGACTTAAATAAAATTTTATTTTCTCACAGTTCCAGAATTAGGAGTCCAAGATTAAGGTTTTGGCAGATTTGGCTTCTTTTGAGGTCTCTCTTCTTGGTTTTCAGACCTCTCTTTCTGTGTCCTCACATGACCTTTCCTCTGTATGCAAGCATCCCTAGTATCTCTCTTGTGTGTCCAAATTTCCTCTTCCTATAAATATGCCACCCTATGGCTGCATTTTAACGTAATCACCTTTTAAAGGCCCCATCCCCAAGTACAGTCACATTCTGAGATACTGGGAGTTCAGACTTCAGCATAAGAATTTGGGGGGACACAACTGAGTACATAACAGGGGCCTTGATCACCTCTAGGTCGAATATTGGAGTAAGCCAACATTCTCTTCAGGCTTGTGTTCTGATTAACCTTCTCAACTTCTACAAGAGGAAGTCTTACTCCAGTTAATATATTCTCCCCTTTTATTTTCTAAAAGTTGTGTTTCTTTATCACATAAGGTATGAGTTAGGAATCAATATTCATTTTCCCGAAACAAATATTCAATTGGAATAGGACCTTTATTGTCTACGGCCATACCACCCCAAACGCGTCCTATCTCATCAGATCTTGGAAGCTAAGCTGGGTCAGGCCTGGTTACTACTTGGAAGGGAATGACACATTTATTGAAAGATCATTCATGTTTGTCATTAATCAGACATCCCATATACATGTGGGTTTGTTTGGGAATCTCTATTCTGTTCCAGTGGTCTTTTATCCTATCCTTATATAAATATGGTAAACTTTGATATCAATAGTCTATGTCTTCCAACTCTGTTCTTTTTAAGACTGTCTTAGCTCTTGTAGCCTTTGATTTCCATATAATCAGATCATATCCACAGAGGTACTTGCTGGAATTTCTATTGGGTTGCATAGAAACAACAAATCCTTTGGGAGAGAAATGACATCTTTATTATCTTGAGTTTTCTAGTCCTTGAACATGGCTTAGCTTTCCTTTTATTTATGTCTCCTTTACTCTTCTAAGATTTTTATTTCATTTTTATTTCTCGGTAGGGATTTTTTTTTTAACAAATTGAAGTTTGTGGCAACCCTGCGTTGAGAAAATCTATTGGTGCCATTTTTCCAACAGTGTTTGCTCACTTTGTATCTCTGGGTCACATTTTGCTAATTCTCTCAATATTTCAAGATTTTTAATTAATATTATATTTGTTATGATCTGTGATCAGTGATTATGACCTGCTGAAAGCTCAGATTATGATTAGCATATTTTAGAAATAAAATATTTGTAATTAGGGCATATACTGTATATACATTTTTTAGACAATGCTAGTGACACTTAATAGACTACAGTATAGTATAAACATAACATTTTTTAGAGAAAGAGAAACAGAGCATGAGCTGGTAGAGGAGCAGGGGGAGGGAAGAGGGAGAGAGAGAGAGAGCGAGAGAGAGAGAGCATCTTAAGCAGTCTCCACATTGAGCACAGATCCCAACAAGGGGCTCAGTCTCACGACCCTGGGATCATGACCTGAGCCAAAATCAAGAGTCAGATGTTTAACTGACTGAGCCATCCAGGCACCCCTGAACATAACTTTTATATGCACTGGGAAACCAAAAAATACATTTGAATTGCTTTATTGCAATATTTGCTTTATTGCAGTGGTCTAGAACAGAACCCACATTATCTCCAAGATATGCCTGAAGTTAACATATTTTGAGGTTTTTGTAAATGCTATTAGGTTTTTCAAATTTCATCTTCCAGTGTGTTATTTGTCTAAAATTTCTTTTTTCAGCTTATCCTTGAAACATATTTTAGCTAAACAGAGAATTATAGCTTGATAGTTGTTTTCTTTTAGCATTTCCAAAATAGACTTCCATGGCCTCTGTCTTTCATTATTTTTGTTGAGAAGTGTCACATAAGTCTCATATTTGCTTTTAGGAGGTAAAAATCCTTTTCTCTGGTGCTTCTAAGATTTCTTCATTATCTTTCATTTTTTAGGAATATAACTACAGTTCTCTTCCTATAGCTTTTCTTTGTATTTATCTTCTTTGAGTTTCTTTAGCACTTCTTGTATCTGTGTTTTGGTGCACTTCATCAATGTGTGAAATTCTTGGCCATTATAGTTTTAACATTTTTCCTGGTCTACTCTCTTCTTTCCTTTTGGACTCTCCAATTACACATATGTTATCACTTTTTACCACACACATGTCTCTTGCACCTTTTTCTGCATTTCTCATCTTTCATTTTCTTTCTGAGATCCAGTCTGATAGTTTTTTCAAATCTATATCCCACTTCATTAATTTTGTCTTCAGCTCCATACAATATGCTATTAAGTGCATCTATCAATATTTTATTTTATTTTATTTTTTGCTATTGAATCTTTCAAATCTGGAATTTATAGTCTTTTATATTTCCCTGTTGAAATTCTCCTTTAATCTTGTCCTTTGATTTATCAAACATACTTATAACAGTTTAAAGTACATTTTGCGTCTTAAAACTCCAATATTTGGACCTCTTGAGAGCTTGTAGCTATCAACTAGCGTTTTTTGTTGTTCTCTCTCTCTCTCTCTCTCCTTTGATTTCTTAAAAATTCTTTTTTCTCATGCCTATTTTTTTTGTTTCTTTTGTTTTGTTTTTTTTAAATTGCTGCATATTGTGAGTGAAAACTATAGAGAAAATCTGAAATTCTGGATGTTGTTACATTCCTCCATAGAAGATTACTTTCATTCTGGAAAGCATTTACAGTAGGAATAAATCATTTCACTTCATCAGGGATTCAGAAAATCAGGACTAGGTTCCAGGTTTTGATAAAGTTGGTTTCCTTACAGTCAGTCCACACTAGGGTGTAGCCCTTCAGTGGCCCAAACTGAAAGCCTATGATGTTTACCAGAGATCCTTATTCTTGGTGGGCCCAATTTTTGTCCCCTTAGCCTTATGAGACATCCTAAAGCTATGCTCATCTCAGCTTCTTAATGGTACCTTTGAAGTGGTAAATGCCTTTCAGGAAAACGGGGTGCCAAATGTGGGGCTCACCCCTCTGGGTTTTCATTCTATCCAAAACTGTTTTCCCCTTAAGTTCCCAGTTAAGTTCTTCATTCCTTCAAACAGATGTTTTCCATATTTTTTCTGACCTTTCTAGTTATATGTCATAGGAAGATACTCTGCCATTGTCAAAGGTAGAAAAAATCTTGTAAGTATATGCACTTTTGTAAACTGCCATTTTCCCTTTGGGGATGAGGTAGGGGCTTTTTAGTTAACTTATTTTAGAGGTTAGCTCACAAATGCCAAGTTCCAATTATTGTTGTTAGTGCCACAAAGACACTATGGAAGATATGAAGACAAATAAAATAGGAAGAAAGAAAATATATAAGAAATTGGCAGAAGCATCAAGTGCCACAAGAAAGAAAAAAACAAGGAAGGCTGGATAGTTCAAAATGGGAAGAACTGAAGGATCAGGGAAACTTATGGGAAAGATTGTATTTAAACAGGAACTTGAGAATGAGTAAAATCTTGTTGAGTTGAGATTGCTGGGGAAAGATATTAAACAATGATTCTTTTAATATAGATCCATGATTATTTCTATAGTCATAGATGCCAGGCCAAGAGTTTTTCAAAATAATGTTTATTTAGGAAATTAATGTGAAGCAATGCAAAAGCAGAGTAACCCATAGTCAACAAAGGACAAGCTCTCACAACTGCTCCCATTGAGTCACTCCTTCACCCAAGAAGTCCCCAAGGCTCTCCTGTGGAACTACAGGTCCCACAAAACCAAGTGGAAGCCCAGTTGGACAATGAGACACGAAAGACTCCTGGACCCGATCTGAGAGTGCCCAGGGTGTCAGCAGGGACCTGGTCCAAATGAGCCAAAGAACATACTAAAGTTCAGGATATCAGAGAGGGCTTGACCATCTATAACCTCACTGGTGAGAGTTCTCTGTGTCACTTCAGAATTGAGTAATTCCCTTCCTTCTCTACAGTATAAACAATTATTTCTCTTGTCAGTGGTCCCTAAATTAATTTGGGGAAAGAATATGACAAAGTCCACACACACAAAAAAAGTCAACTTTCAATCCATTCAACAAGTTCTGCTGAGGGCCTTTGGGCTACTATGCACAGTGTATGAGTGATTATCTTCAGGAAGTTGACATGTGCTAAACTTTAAATGAGTTTTTCATTCTTCCTGAGCAGATGACAGTCCCAACAGGGGCAAACAAGCTGGATTTGCAAAGAACCCTAGTCAGCTACAAGGTCCCAATCTCTACCTCTCTCCCAAATTGTTCTCCCAGAAGAACATTCACCTAGACTCCTTTGGTCTCCCATATAAAATATGAACTTCCCCACTCATCACTTTATCCTCTGCTGAGATTCCCTGTTCTCTTGGCTCTGTCTATCCAATCTAGACCATCCTTCAAATTCCTTCAGAGACCTTCAGTCTCTCCAGCTCCCTCTCTTTCTATTGTCTAGAGACAGAGGCCCGTGCTAGTCCTTCAGAACAGGCCCACAAGGCTTTGTGTAGTGGAGAATAGGAACAACACTTTCCATGAGGTGTCAAGTGCTTTCAATAATATCAGTAATTTGCAGCCCCAGCTACACATTAAAGCACTCAAGGGCCTTTTTGAAAAGTAGATGTTCTGGCTTCACTTCAGAGGTTTTTATTAAATTTGCCTAAAGGGAACTTGGACATCCATGTTTTTTAAAGCTTCTCAGATGAATCAAATTAAAAGTCAGGGCTGAGAATCATTGACTTAGAAGATTTCATTCAATCCCCACAAAGACTCCTAAGGTCAGACTCTGGCAAATGTGGGTATCTGATCTCCCTAACCCTAACCCTAACCCTAACTCTAACCCTAATCAGGTACCTGACTGTGGACAGGGAAAGAGAGCTTGCTCATATCATGGTTCACTGTTAGGCACCTGTGATGGGCCATAGGGCTTCTCTATCTCCAGGTGCCTCCCACTGCACATGTCGGGGCCTTAACAGGGTCTTCCAGAAGTCAGATGGTTCCTGCATCTGCCAGGCAGGACATGAGTCCTACAGCAGGAGGGGCCTGGAAAGTGAGGAGAGCGACAGTGATGAGGACTGTCAGCCCCAGGTAACACCTCACTCAGCCTTAGGAAAGGAAGGCTTGAGGAGAGTGAGGAGAGGTAGCATTTATGGGTCCCTCTGCATGCCAGTCGCTTTTCATTGTCTGTTGGGTTAATGTGTAGTCCTTTGTGCTGGATGGATTACCTCCTATACAAATGAGAACACTTTAGAAAGCTCGCATGATAAGACATATTTCTCCTTATCATAGACCCACAAATTTCAGCATTCATTATAAAGGATCTTAGGAGAGTAATTTGATCACTCCACCCAGTCTCCCTAGAGCTGGACCTCCCAGTTACCTCTTCCAAGCAGCAAACTTGTCTTCTATTACTATTGTAGGTTCCCTCTACCCTCAAGCCTAACCTTAGTCTTAGGGTGCTGACTAAATGACCTCTCAGGGAGCCTGGTTCCCCAGAGGCCCCACCATGTCCCTGGAATGTTCTCTGATGCTGAGAGTGCCCTCATCCTGGGCCTGCAGGGGGTTCCAGAGCCAGAACTCTTCTCCCACATCCTCCTTCAGGTCGCTGAGCGCTGCTCAGCTGGAGAAGTACGTCTGGCTGCCACCCGCAAGTGTGTGTCCCCCCAGCTGCACAACTGCTCCTCTTTCTGCCACCCAGTGGATGGGAAGCTCAGCGCTGAACTGGGCATGTGAGTGACAAAAACCTGCTGAGAACAGAATGAATTCATCGTCTCCAGACAGGTCCTGACTGTCCCCAGAAAGTCCCTCCAGAAATGTTGAGCAGGACCCAGCTCTGATGGGAGACTGAGCCAAATACAAGCTCCTTCCAGAAGCTGCCATGTCAGCATTTCCCAAGAAGGGGAATCAGGCCAACACCAGCCAAAGCAAGCAGCCAGAGCTGAGGAGGTACTGGCAGCAAGGCAGAGTGAGCGCCATACCCCAGGTCCCTGAGCCAACTGTTAGGAGTGACCCTGGCTAGATGCCAAGCCGAGAAGGGCTCTGATTTTGTCTGGCTCTCCAGTCCTCCCCCTGGCCTGTGGACTGAATGGTATCCCCCAGAAGGCAGGGCCAGGGAACCATTGTGCTAGAAGGTCCGCTGAATAGAGTATTCCAGGCTGAACAACTCTCTCTCCTCACTCTTGCCTCAGCAGGATGCCCAAAACAAAAATGCTGAGCTTGTCAACTAGGATTTGTCCCAGGCACTGCTCCCATTCTGGAAGCTAGTGCAGAAGCAGGGGCCAGAGAGAGCACTTTTTAATGAGTCATCATGGACCTCCATTGAAAGTGCAGTCACTGCTTTGGAAGAATAGACAGTTCAGATCCTTCTGGAGGTGCCTGTACTAGTGGAGGGGTGTCAGGAATGGGCAGCTGCGCCATACCCACCAGGACAGACCTCCCATCCTCTCCTCTCCTGCAGCTGCCAGTGCCAGGAATATGTTTCAGCAGAAGAGCTCTGTGATGCCCAGTGTCTGGCAAAGGCCCCCCAACTCTCCCTGGCCTGGGGTTCCAGCAGGGAGCTGGTCCTCAGCGTGAAGGGCGAGGCTGGAGACCATGACCAGAGGGTGAGCCCACCTCGGGGAAGGGCTGGGATAGAAGGGCAGCCTCTGCCTGCTGGGGACAAAGGGGAAAAAATCTCCCAGGCACCCTGGCTGCAGAAACCAGGCTGCAGAAACCAGCCACCACCTCGGTGGCTCAGTCGGTTAAGCATCTGACTGTTGATTTCAGCTCAGGTCATGATCTCATAGCTCATGAGATTGACCCCCACATCAGGCTCTGCATTGACAGTTCAGAGCCTGCTGGGGAGTCTCTCTCTTCCTCTCTCTCTCTCTCTTTCTCAAAATAAATAAACTTAAAAAAAAAGGGAAAATCCACTTGATAACCAGTCTTTCCTAGTCTGTTGCTATCTGCATGAATTTCTGTTCCATAGGCTGGAGGGAAAGGCAGAAAGGAAGTAAGTGGTATTTCTTATGTTGATAATGTCAACCATCCAATTTGAAAGCCACTAAGAGAGCCGAGAAAGCAACAGCTTGACTTTATAGAGTGTTAAGTGAAGCCCAGGGGCATGAAACCACTCACTGTGGTCACAGAAATGGTGTGAGCCCTGCTGGAACTGAGCCTGAGCCTCTTATCAAAGGCCAGACCTCTGGCCACAGGCAGGGCCTTCTCTTGGCTACAATGGTGTTGGCTGAGGCTTTCTTCAGGGTCTTGATGCTTCATCAGGGTGGGAGGGGCAGAAGACCAGGGCCCAGATGCAGTGCAGGTCCCGCTCACCCTTATGTTGGCCTACCAGAAGGTTCTAGATGGCTGTGTCTACTTGCCACTGAAAGGGTGGGGAGATCACTGGTGTGACACTGGACAGCAGATTTGGGGTGATAGTAAGATGATTGTTCTGAAGAAGTTGTTCTGTTCGTAGGACTTTGCAAATAGAAAAGGAGCAATTGATGACCCAGGACAGGGACAAGAGTCAGGGGTGTTTGCTGAAGATAAAGAGGAGCCCTGGGCATAGGAGTCCCCCTGGGCAAGTTTCAGTAAGGAAGGAGACAAATCCTGAGGGATGTGGACAGTGGATATCTCTGAACTCAGCATCACCAGGGGCTGTGCCAAAGGGCTCAGTCTGGGTTTCTGGCCATCCATCTCTGCAAACCTCGCTGCCCCTCTGGCCCTCCCCAGGTATATAATGCTGTGCTGTATGTTCTCAGGAAGTATCAAGCACTCTGGGCCCAGACCAGTTCTTCCAAGAGAATGCCAGGGTCCATCTGGTCCAATGTGGTCCCCGTGGCATCTTTGGCTTTGTCATCTCCAGAGTGGACATGCTTGACTCTTTCTTCCTTGGTAAGCAGAGGAGGAATACCAAGCCCAGGCTTTCCCAGAGTGAGTGCAAGGGGGTAAAGGATATGGCTGCATTCTTTCAGCAAGGGATGGCCCCTCAGAAACTTCTCAGCCCTGTCTTGGTGTTCAAAAGGTGAGAGTCAGGCAGGGACCACAGAAGGCCATGTAGGAAGACAGTCTTTGGGGAGGTGAGGGCTCCAGAAGTGCTGAAACTGCTCCTAAAAGGGAATCGAGACAGGACAGGGCTAGTAGGTGGGTGTGTGTACCCCCCTCCCAGACAAGCCCAGATCCTTCAGCATTCCTTCCCCAAACTCTCCCAGAACCACCTGTATCCAGCCCCTGGCTACAAAGGTATCATCGGACTACAGGACTGGAGTACTCTGTCCCTCAGGACCCTGGCATCCATCTCCATATTCCAAACCCAGTGGTCTGCCTAGAAGAAGGAGACGTGATTCTTTTCCAGCTTCACATTCTTCCTCACAGTGAGTTCCCTAATTCAGTACCTGAGACCCTCCCTCGGGCTCTGGCTCTCTCATCCCTCCTCTGCCTGGCTGTTCTGTGACATCACATATAGACCACAACTTTGAAGTAGCAAGTAACAAGCCTGTGCTGTCCCCCTGCTCTCAACATGATTGGTCACTTACTGTGGGCCTCCCTTCACTCGTTGGAGCAGATGCTCTAGCTCCAACATTCTGCAACTGCTCCCTGCAGCCCACGGGTGTCAGATTTTGTGCTTTGGGTGGAGGCAAGGACTCACCAAAGTGACCTCTGCTCTCAGCCAGCCCTCCCACATGTCTGCTCTGTGCCACACAGTCGTCCTTTCAGGGCCTGAGGCCCCCAGAGGCAGACTTCTCAACCCCTCCTGGTAGCCCCCTCCATCTTGAGACACCTTGGTTTACAATGATTGTCATCCTTGTAATGAGCAGAAGCCTGCCTCCCTGTGACTCCCGCCCCTGGGAACCTTACAGAACAAGACTTTTTCCTCCATGAGACAGCCTTCCCTTAGAGAAGAAGTCTCATCCCTCCAGGCTCAGCATCAACCTTGCATGCATTGTGCACAGTCCGGGCCCTCAGTAGACCTTAATTCCCTCCCTTTCTCCTGCCTGGCACTTCCCTGGGGTGCTGCTGTGGAGTGGATGGGCCTTCCCTGCACACCCAGCCCACCTGCTCACATGCAGATGGCAGATGTCACAGTGCTGCCCCACTCACATGTCCCAGGACACCAGCTGGCTTGGCAGAAACAGGCACAGGTCTGCAGCTCTAAAGACTTGAGAGAAGATGAGCACCTGGGTGGCTCAGTCGGTTAAGCGTCCGACTTCAGCTCAGGTCACGATCTCACGGTCCGTGAGTTCGAGCCCCGCGTCGGGCTCTGGGCTGATGACTCAGAGCCTGGAGCCTGCTTCCGATTCTGTGTCTCCCTCTCTCTGCCCCTCCCCCGTTCATGCTCTGTCTCTCTCTGTCTCAAAAATAAATAAACCTTAAAAAATAAAAATTAAAAAAAAAAAGACATGAGAGAAGCAAGAGAGCAGCCAGCTCCAGGCCAGTGTGGGTTGGGCTTTTCCCCCCCCCCAACAGATATATTTTTTAAGGAATAGATTTTGAGGAGAAAAACATGGAGCAGAGAGGTATGGAATAGAAAATAAATGCAAAAGCAGCCTGATTTGCTAATTGTTTTAGAACCACAATAAATTAGTACAGAGAATGCCCTGTACAAACAGCACAATAAAGGTTCAAAGATTAAGGTGCTCCCTCAGGCAAAGCTGAAGATATCAGTATCTGGTATTGGAATTTATGCTGCAGTCTTTGTTCTTAGATGGATCACTGGGTATGTGGCACAAGCCACACTTTTAGCCTGATTTAAACAGGAGGATGGCCACTTGGCCCAAGAAGTAGATGAAGTGTTTTGTTTCATGTGTCACCTAACTACCGAAGTTCCTCCCCACAAAGCAGTGCCAAGGCGAAACAAAAGGGGAAACAAATCCCAGAAGGTGAACTCCAAACATTTGTGCCCCAGTTTCCAGGCCAGGTCTCCCATAAAGCCCCCAGGACCTGGGGCAACCTGCATCCTCTCTCAGCCTTGCTATTTACATCTGTGAAGTGAATGCAGTTGTGTTCCCCCTTCTCCATGTGCTGGGGGAGGTGAGTTCAGAGCCCCATCTTTCAGGGGGGTTAGGGGTGCTTGGGAAGAAGAAGTGATACCTGTCATTGGAAAAGACCCCCTGTGCAGAGCGAATTGCTTGGCTGGGCCCACCTGGATTTCTGCCAGGCACCCCATCCACCCCCTTAGCTGCTCATTCTCCCAGCCACCCCACAGCATGTACTGAGTGCCTGCTGCATGCACACTGCCTGTCAGGGGTACAAAGCTGAACAGGTCCCACCTCTGAGAGTACCAGGGCATCTGGCTGTGCTCACCCACAAAGGGCATCAGGGACTGGGGGCCTCTGCAATGGGCTGGTGTGCTCACTTTGCAGGCTGCCTTGGCACCAAGAGTGTTAAATGTGTTATCATATACATGAAAGGATGAAACATGTCATTTCATTGAAAACATGTCTTCTCAGTTTCCTCACGGTCTTGAGGACAGACCCTGAACTGCCTGGATGTGGGCTGCCCAGAGCTGGCACTGAGGAGCCCCCTAGAACCCAGCACCACCTGGCTTCTTTCCCCAGATCGCTCAGCCAGTCACTACCCTGTGTACCAGATGCAGCATTTGTTCAACAGCAACCCCAACTGGGACTTTGGGGCCTTCAGGAGACTCAGCCACCTCGTGCGAGAGACTCACCTCAACTTTTCAAGGTAATCTCTGCTGAGCTGCCTGGGAACTTGGAGGAACCATGCTTCCTCACATGTAGGTCACAGCTAGGGAGGCACTAGGAAGACACAGAGGAGGATGTGAGGCTGTCAACCATGTGGGAGGTGAGACCAGAAAAGACCAAGGACAGGTGAGGCCTCCTGAATGCATGGAGGGCAGCGATTTGGGAGTCATGGGCAGCTTCCCTAGACCACATTATTCCTGTGCATGGGGAGGAGCTCACACAGTCTGGTATAAGCAGCTCAGCAAAGCTAACTTTCCCTATATTCTGGCCCTTCGTTCCCCAGGTTTGCCCACCAGTTCCTAGATCCAGGCACATATGTGTTTCGAGACAACAGACTGCCTGAGAGCATCATCGTGGTGCTGGTGAAGAAGAAAGGAGTGGCCTGCGATCCCGGCCTATCCCCTGTGCAGCCCTCCTCCCCGTATCAGCTTGCCAGGCATGGGGTCCTCAGGCACGAGCTGCTAAACCTGGGCCCAGACTGGACAGTGATCACAGGTACTGACCCCAGGCCAGAGTAGCCATGACCTGGAGGGGGCATGGGAGAAACCTTGCACAGCAGGACCCTTCAGTGCATGTCCAGCCCTACCTGTAACTCTAGGCATGGCCCCAAAGACTTCAGATGGGCACTAGGACAACCTTGTCCCTGAACTAGGACTTCATTTGCCAGGTAGAGATTATTTAATTTCCTTCTTGGGGTCCTTCCCTTTCTTCCTACCTCCCAAGCCCCTCAGTTTTGGGACCTGTTCTTGTGAACAGGGTCTCGTGGTCAACAGCGCCCCTGAGTGGAGTCATAGGCTCACCAAGATGTTCATTCTAACCTCTTCGGTGTGTGTTTCCAACCATTTTCTTTCCTTCCTGTCTTCATGAGTCAGCAATCTCACTGAGCTTTCCAGGCTGAGCCTCAGACGGTGGGTCTGTCATGGCCCCTTGCCCAGATGGGCAGGAAGAAAGCAGCCCTGCAGCGGCTGAGGCATAAAGCCTGCAGAGGCTCTGAGTGGTCATCATGTGGCCTCTGCCTCTCTGTCCTAACCTTGCAGGAGTGCTGCTGGCTGTTGGCTTGGCAACTGTGCTGCTGACAGGCCTCGGCCTTGTGTTGAGGCCCTCCCTGGCTCAGGCCTGCCCTGTAAGGGCTTGGAGGCCCCAGTGGAAGGGCCTTGGGGAGTCTCATGTGCCTGCTGAGTATGTGCCGCTCAGGGACAGGTGAGTCTCCTTCCACCCTTCACTCCTTTCCCAGCCTAGGGGCCACAGCATGTGTGGCCACTCCCCACCATGGCCCTGCCCACATTCATGATCCTGGTGCTGGCTCTGGAGACTCAGGAAAGAACGTCCTCTTTTTTTTCTTAATGTTTATTTATTTTTGAGAGTGAGACAGAGACAGAGCATGAGCAGGGGAGGAGCAGAGAGAAAGGGAAACACAGAATCCGAAGCAGGTTCCAGGCTCTGAGCTGTCAGCACAGAGCCCAAGGCAGGGCTCGAAAGCACAAGCCATGAGATCATAACCTGAGCCAAAGTTGGATGCTTAACCAACTGAACCACACAGGTTCCCCAAGAACACGTTAAGCTGACCTGTGATATTCATCACTGGCACTCCTGGTCCATGTGAGCCCTGTGCCACCTGAGTATGGGTTCTTCTTTCCAGCCTTCTGTCCTATGAAGAACTCAGTCCGTGGGGCTCTAGGGAAGGAGCTGATTCCAAGGAGAAAGTCATTACCTGGAGTACAGGTACCACACCTATACACAGCAACTCCTCTTCTCTTCTTCACCTGCCCTCCACCCCCACCTGCACCCCAGGTACACTCTGGGGAACATCTCACATTTCTATAGCACTGACAGCTTAGAAGACACATCATGCTTTCCATCTGATCCTCACAATGGCGCCAAGAAGTGGATGTTTTCAGGTGTTGTACAATCCCTATTTAATGACAAATAGATTGAGACTCAAGGAAATCCCCCCAGATCCCCAAGTGACAAGGGCTAGAGAGTAGGTGCTTCTGGGCTTGAATCAAGGGCTCTCTAATCTTTGCTGTGCTGGTCAAGAGTTCTTGGGAACCCAAGGGCAATTCTCCAATCTCACGGCCAGCTTGCTCTAGCTCACCACAGGGGCAAAAATGAAGTTTGTTCTACAGAATCCCTTTACAGGATCACTCATCTGCCCCTGTCAGTTCCTCTTCTCACCTGAAGAACAGCATATTGCCTTCGTTCTCAGGAGGACCTAGAGGGGCCACACTTTCTTCCCAACCTCACTTGGCCCCCAGTACCTACTGTGAGGAGGAAGTGTGTGCAGAGGGGCATGGAGAGGAGGCTCTGCCAACACCCTTCACCTGCTTGGGAATAACAACTGGACTGCCTCACTTCAGACATCAAAGGGACAAAGGAAAAGCCCTGTAAGCTCTCCTGGATGTGGGTTCACACAGCTTAGAGTCTACCTCCATTTGTCCCTAACTACAGTGTTGCAGAGACCCCAGGAAGTACATTAAATGCACAAGGACCTGGAGGAAGCAGTGAAGTAAGTGGTTATAAAATACAGTCATGGGACCAGACCAGCACTGGAGTCTTGCTAGCTTTGAACCTGAACACAGGTCCACACCACACACCCCTCCTCACACCACACGTCCACACATCCACAAGCATCCACACATATACACATTGCACACACACACACACACACATACACACACACACACTGTCCAAGGCAGGCCTAGCTCTGTGCAGTCCTGACTATGACTCTGCCTAGGGCTCAGAGGCTGGTTATCTCTTTCCTAGTGATAGATCTGGACAGTGAGGACAGTACCTCCCTGATGCAGGCAGAGGGAACTGACTGAGTGCAGGACAAATCTACCCTCCCCACCTCGGATCACCCCTCAGGGGTGATCAGCAAGGTGGGCTGTGAAAAGTGTGTATAATGTGGACACAGGGAAGGGTATACAGAGTCAGGGATAAAAACCAGGATTTTAACCCTCAAAGGAAGTCTCAATTCAGGCTCAGGGCTGAGGGTGGGGGGCTCATTGCTGAGATCTCCCACAGGAGGAGGTGTTGGCACAAGGCTTTTTTGGTAAGAGGACTGGCCTCTAAGGGAGGGTGAAGTGCCCCTACATAGTGGGGGTCGTGATGGGTGCACAGAGAGAAGAAGCTTGATGGTGTAAGAGGTCTGGAAAGCTGCCTTCCCACTGCCTTCCAACCTGAGTGGCTGGTAACTCAAGGGACAGACCTACCCAGGCTGCAGAGAGGAAAGGAAGGCAAAGTTGGCCATGTAGGGGCCGGGCTTACATTTGTTGCCCAGAACAAGAACTCCCACATCACTCTGCCAGCATGAATGGGGCTACCTTTCTCCCCTCATGCACCCACCAGGCCTGGGAAAGAGCAGTGTATGGCCTGGCAGTGGATACTCACTCAGCTTCACATTCCACTCCTGCAGGCCACTCTCTGAGAGAGCCCCAGGCCAGCATGGCCACCTCCGTTCCTTCTTCCTTCTTCCTTCTTCTTCCTTCTTCCTTCTTCCTTCAAAACCCAACTCCATGGGGGAAAGACTGTCAGAAAGGGGCCTGCTTCACTCACATGTGCCTTAGCAGAGCAGAGTGGGCTTGAGGGAGAAGGAGGTCAAGGGGCTTAAGACCCTTGGCAAGGGGGCATTCCTGCAGGGTGTGAGAGAACTACGATGAGGCCCAGCAACCTCAGTGGAGCTGTCTGGTTTACTCCCCTGGGCTCAGCTCGGGTCACACTCCAGCCAGAAGCCTACACCACACTCCACACCTCAGCTAGATAAGTACTTAGTGACCCTCTGCTGTCTGCCGGGTACTGTGGGACACCTGGGGCTAAACAGGAGTCCACAGAGCAGTGGGGACAGGTGGGGCAAGAGCTGTCAAAGGGGAGCACAAGGTTGTTAAGGAGACATGGGGACAGTGAGATGAGTTCAAGTGGAGGGAAGGGACAAAGGTTACTTAGCCAGATGTGGCCTGGGCGACCCAGCAAACAGCCTCCTCAAGGAGCTGCTGGCTTGTCAAGGCCAGTGAGACCCACCATCAACAAAACAGGGAGGCGGTGCCCACCGCCCAACTCTGGTGTGACGCCAAGCCAGACGGACAGAGGCTGCAGGACCCCCTCTCTGTCACACTCACACTGAAGTTCTCTCCACAGCCACTGCCACCTCCTGCATGGGAAGGTCTCCTGCCTCCTTGCTTGCCTTTCCTCCCAGCGCTAACCCTCCCCCGTGCAGGCTTCCTCTGTTCTCACTTGTCAGTGCTGGAAGGAAGGAGGGAAGCTGTACAGCCACTCCGGGAGCTGTACAGCTCCCACCTCCGGCTCCATCGCACAGCCTCACTCTAAGCCTCCTTCCTGCAGGAGAACCACTCCCCTTGAAGACCCTGGAGGACTTCAGTGTCCGCACTCTCTATGACAAGCTCGAGGACCAGAGCCTACACGTGGCCGCCCAGCTGAGCAAGCACAGGAGCGAGGCACTGGCCTTCTATAGGGGTGCCAGCCAGCAGCTCCAGGGGCTCAAGGTCCGCCACAACTCCCCAACAGCCAAGCTACCCTCATCCCTACCACCCCAGAGAACAGGGGCCCCACTCACCCACTTCTGGAAATTGCTAAAGACTGACACAGCCCTGGTTCTTCCAGGACTTTCTCCAACACCTCAGCACAACTGAGTGGCAAGCTCTGGACAAGGGTGGAGACCCAGAGATGGAGGCCACAGCTGCCACCAGGACAGACACTGAGCAGAGTGTGGAATCATGGGGCCACCACACTGCAAGTCTACCTAGGGAGCCCTGGCAGCATCCTCTAGGTGAGAGGCAGGTGCCCAGGGATGGGACAATGATGGCAGATGGAAAGTCATAATATTAACTCTGTATAGCACCTAAGTGTGCATTTCACATTTGTCATCTCACTTGACGTTCAGCACCCCTGTGCCATAACTGGACAGCATCTTCTGACCACAGAAGATGGTCCTGGGCCCAGGGAGCGGTGTGATTTGCCAGAGGAGAAGGAGACTCATATAACACATGGCAGAGTGATGTCTGCCCAGCTTTCCTGTCGGCCACATCCACCCCTGTGTTTTAGGGCTGGCCTTGTGTAGGATATCAGGGTAACAAGGGCCCTAAGGCTTTTGAGAGTCTCCCTAGTTTATACCTTTAGTTCTATTTTTCTAAAGGGCATAAGTAACACATACTCCCCACAAAAGTTCCATCAGTACAAAAAAGTAAGCAATGGGAAGCTAAAGTCCACTTGAGCCCAAATCTCAGCAGCCTCACAGGTCTGTGGGTGAGTATTCATTTGCTCTTCTGTGGACCCCGTGGAAGCCCCTTCCATGACAGCCCATACTCTGAAATACTCCTGCCACTCGCAAGAGTCTAAACTCTTGTAAAGCCTTCTTCCTTTAGGACCTGGGTGTTGAGCTTCACTGCAAAGAAGCATGTGTTCAGTTCCCACCCGGACTCTGAGTCCCCAGACAGGGCTTGTGACAGGACAGGAACGGGTGTGGAGGGACATCCATGGGCCTCACTACCTGCTCTGACTTAGAACCACACTCAGAAATCTGAGAGCCCAAAACTGAGCATTATCCTGGGTGGGTCTAGCAGATGGCAGCTCTGGGCGTGTGGTCTCTAAGCTACCCCTGAATGGCCCTGATGTCTCTATGTTTGGGCTACTGACTAAAACACAGCTCTGGCTGCCACAGTGGGTGACCCTGGCTCCATGTTAGAAGTGGTCAGTGCTGTTGCCCCCTTTGCTCCTGGCTCCTCTCCCTCCCTGTGAGTGCCCAGTGGATGCCAGTCTAGGTAAGAAGGGGGCTACCAGGCTGCTTTCTGCAAGGCTATATCACTTGTTTACTTTTTCCATGATGGCAGCCCTAGAATAAGAGGGCCATCTGCCCTCAATGGCCCTAGGGGAGAGGAGTTGGGGAGCAGGTCAAACAGACACTAGCACCCCTCCCTGGTGTGCTTGCTGCATGTGTGGTCTATGAGACCCTGGGGATGGAGAATGTTATTTTAAGAGCTTTCCTTGACCTTCTCTGAAACCATTCCCTCTTCTTAAACTTCTGGGCTGGGATATCTGGCCAACTGATCATGAGAAGGAGAAAGACAAAATCCGAAATTTGCCTGGGACTAAGCTGTAAAAACTCCATGTCCCAAAGATCCTCTCCACAGGCACTGATGGGAGCTGAATGCAGGAGTTAGCTATTGCTAACTGGAGGCAGAGGCTTCCATTATTTCTTGATAAGGAACACTTTTTTCTAAAAAATTATGTGATGAAAGTTTAGCAAATTAAAAAGAAGAAAGCAATTAAATAACACTTTTGCAAAACTACCCTGTAGCCCATCAGGCTCCCTGTGGGTGGCTTTTTCAGCAAGTCAGAGTGAAGTTCTTGGAGACTGCTGGCTGTGAGCCCCAACACAGCATGGGGCTTGGCAGTGGGTGTCCTGAGTGCCCAGGGGATGCACAAGCAAAACACAGTACTTAGAAGTGTTCAAGCAGTCAGAAGTAACAGAGTAGATATGGTGATAAAAGATAGGTATACCTTTGAATATTTCTGAATATAAAATCAACACATGGTACATCTTAAGCTTACACAGTGTTATGTTAATTATATCTCAATAAAGCTAGAAAACCAAAAAAAAGAAAAAAAGATGTATAAGAAGGGAAGAGATTATGTATAAAAATTTAACTACTCACACATAAAAAACCACAATGTGTCTTTCAAGGTTCAATCTGCATATAGTTAGCACATTGGAGAGATTGCCTGAAGGAAGGAAGGAGATGCAGGCAGGCTCTGGGATGAAAGGTGGAAGGAATAAAAAGGCAAGAGGCTCCCATCAAAGGCTTCAGAACTGAGAAAAATCAAGGAAGTGTGAGGTGGGGAGTCTGTGGTCAGACGAGATGATTGGGTCTCAGGCTACTCTCTGTGTTCTCCTTCCCCAGGCCGCACCCCCAGTGTCACACCCCTGGGCTTTCAGCTGGAACTTGACAGAGTGATTGTGGCACTGGCATCAGCACTTTCTCACGCACACGGACAACCAGCTGGGGCCAACAGAAAGGTGAAAGCTCCCCAGGGCACTAGAGTGCACCTGCGTATTCAGACAGCTTCAGTGTCACCCTGACCTCGTGGAGACTCATTTGGCATACACGCGTGCACACAAACACACACACACGTGCACATTCACACACACACACAAAACACCATTCACATACACAAACATGCATGCACACATCACACATGCGCACATTCATACTTACACACTCGTGCACACACACACATGCGCAGACACCACACGCACATATGCGCTTAGGCCTCACACTCTTCAGGTGGCTCTGCACTCTGCTAGAAAAGCAGAGTGTGCTGCCTGTGCTCCTAGGTTAACCCCTGTCTTCAGCTATTTATCTCCACCAAGATGTGTGTCAGAGACAATCTCCCCAGTCCCTTGTTGATCTGGCCTCTTACACAGAGCTCAAAAGGGAAGCACGATTCATGCATCCTACACTGAGAGCAGCATGTCAAATGGAAGAAAGACTCAAAGGGCCTCTGTTCAGGAGTCTCTGGCTGGCACACCCCAGTGCAATAGGGCAGAATCCATCACAGCAACATGTGTTCCCAAGGCACCTGTAGGGATGTAGAAAAGAGAGACCATGATACATATCAGGTCTTATCTACTACTGAGCAGACACTTGGGGTCCCCAAGAGCACTAGGCAGTCAGTGGCCTGGCCACACCAAGAAACAGAATCCCAAGTTCAGATCAGTGCGGGTGTCCATAGTGGTTCAGCAATGATGCCCTTGTCCATTACTGTTCTTTACTGAGCCCAGAACTGAAGGAAAGCTACAGGATTATCTGTTCTTCCAAGGCCTCTGTTCAGGTTGGTGAACAGCCTCTTCGCACCTACCAACAAAACCCTCAACTGGCAAGTAACATGTCCCTGCAGCCACAGCCTCCACCACCGGATGAGGAGAACCAAAGTACAAGGTGGGGACAGGCATCAGCACCAAAGCTTACACACAGCAGCTATATTCTTTGGGTGTGGCCCTTAGCATCTAGTACTGAGAATCTTATCTTCCATAACCAACACCTCATTTAAAGCTTAACCCACTCAAATCCAGCTGAAGGCTTCAGGATGCTCTGCCCATAGTAATTTCCCCTATTGTCCCAGCTACTTTGGTTTACCAAGAGGTCACTGATTTAACTCATCAGAACTCATGTCATTTACTGGGTTTGTTCCCACCCATGGGGATGAGGTCACATTCACTCTGGCTGACCCTAGACTTTATAACCCCACCCCACTTCCTTCCAATGCTCCTTCTTCTGATATATCATCTCTTCTGGGGTGTAGCCATGTGGGCTTGTGTTCTTCCTCCAAGTTGACCAAGAGGCTAAGATGGATTTATTTGCTTGTGTAGACTTGATTTCTCTCTGTGCATTTAGATTTATGCTCTGTTCCTCCCTTCATCCCCTTTTAATTATCATAAGTGGTAGTAGTCATATTGAATGCTTTGTGTATCCTGGTGCTAAGGTAAGCACTTTATCTGCTAAGTTAATCCTCGCAATAACCCTGTGAAGTAGATACTATTGCTAGCTCCATTTTACCTTTATTTTTTTAGGTTTATTTTGACAGAGAGAGAGAGAGAAAGGAGAGAGAGAGAGAGGTGGGGGAGGGGCAGAGAGAGAAGGAGAGAGGATCCCAAGCATGTTCCACACTGCCAGTGCAGAACCCAATACCAGGCTCAAACTCACCAACTATGAAATCAGGACCTGAGCCAAAATCAAGAGTCAGTCACTTAATCCAGGCACCCCAGCTCCATTTTAAAGATGAGAGAACCAGGTTTCAGAAAGGCCAAGCTTTATGATAGAGCTGGGATATCAGTGCAAGGGATCTGAGTCTCAGAGCCCACCCTGCACTAACCTCCCCGTTAATTCTTCCACCAAAGCTACGACAGTCTTTCCTCCCAGAAACTTCTTTTCCATTGATTTCCTTATTTAGGTTGCCTAGAAAACTTACATAAATGAAGTCTCTTGCAGACAAGGGGAGAGGAATCTTGACTCTCCTGCTAAAGTCATGGGGCCTGGGTTCCTAGAGGATCAGGGACTCCAGAAAGAAGGATCACACAAAGGCAAGTTAGTGTAGGGACCAAGGGCTGCCCCTGGCCCAAGATAGGCCACTCTGGCATGAAAATCATTTTGAGTTAGAAGCAATCAAAATCCAGCAGACTCAGGAAAAACTCTTTTTCTCCCCCTCTACTGCCTAAAAGAATTTGGGTAGAGGACCTGCTCCAGGAAAATAGCTGTCACCATAGATAACTACATGTAATATGTACATGTAGTACATAGTATTGTAATATGAATGAGGTATGGTGGACAGGGAGGAACCTAGCAAGGCCTGTTTGATCAAAACCTTCTATGTCTCATTGTTTCTGTGGGCCCAGCAACCATCTGTTTACCAAACATTTATTCTCATTCTCCCCGTGAATTGCTTTCTTTCCCTTTGAAGTCCCAGACCCCTACCCCTTCTCCTTAGTTTAGGATGACACATACACCTCATTTTCCCTGTGTTTGGAATCTCATGTCTGTGTGGATTCCCTGTACATGTGAAACTAAATTTGATTTTCTCCTGTTACTCTGTCTCATGTCAATTTGATTTAGTCCAGCTAAAAGGACCTTGAAGGGCAGAGGAAATTCTTCCTCCCCAACATTTATAATCCAGGACCTAGCTAGACTGGGCTCTTCCCTGAAAGTAGTGCCTATTTATTTATTTATTTAAGTAGTCTTCACATCCAGGGCAGAGCCCAACATGGAGCCTGAACTCACAACCCTGAGATTAAGACCTGAGCTGAGATCAAGAGTTGGATGCTTAACTGACTGAGCCACCCAGGCTTTCCAGCCAGTGTCATGACCTACAACCTGAGGATAATTTCACTCAACAGATATTTATTGCTGTCTTTGATACAGAGCTGAAGGAGTCAGGAAGAACAAGTGATTGTAATAAAAGGCTATAGAGGTTTAAAGACATCTGCAAGGATCAGGAAAGGTTTTTGTGATGGTAGTATTCTTTGAAATAGGCTTTAAAATAAGAGTAGGGTCCTAACTGGCAGAGGCATTGAGGAAGGGTGTTCCTGGAGGAGAACAGTGTTGACAAAAACATGGTGGTGAGAAAGCTCAGATATGGCTCATGAACTGCAACCAGTCCCAGAGGCCTAAAGGCTCACTGAAGATAGTCCACCCCTCTCATATCAAGGGACAGAAACTGAGATTGAAAATTGAGTTTCCCAAAGGGAGTCTGAAGAGTATAGCAGTGTACTGACCAGGATCCCAACAGGAAACAAGCACCTTCTAGATGGAAAATTTGAGAGAAATGTAATAAAGGAGGACATATAAAGGTGTGGGCAGATACATGTTACCACAAAGGCTAACACAGTTCCCTAGAGCAAGCAGAACTGGGCCAACATCTCCCTGTCCCAGGCCTGAAGGGTGAGGGCACAAAGCAGTTACTGAGCCACAGATGGAACACCAGTTAGGGAGGCTCTAACAGACACAGCTCTCACAGGGCACAACCAGCCTGATATAGGGAAAGAAAAAAATTCCTTTCTTCTACCCATCTTAGGTTCTTGGCTAGGGCCCAGTAAATTAGACTAACAAAAGATGAGCATTAACATGCACATGGCACATACACATGAAAGCACTTGGTGAAGAGTAAAGGAAGGAAGGGTGTTGAGAACTTGGGCTTACACAGCATCTTAATAAAATAACAGTAAATTTTTAGAGAGGCTACAAGACAAAATAAATGGTCTTTGAGTTTCTTGGGTGTCAAATTGTCAGAAGGTAAATATATGGATGAACCAGTGGTGGATAAGGGCTAGTTTTAGCAAGGTTTTTGTGTAAATTCCTGTGGTGCCAATTCCAGGCTGATAAACATCTAGAGTTACCTTGGGGATTAACTCCTGCCCTTCCTAGAGAAGGAGGGAGGAGGGCATCTTTAAAATGTATGTCCTGCTTTTAGTAAAATAGGGTAAGGGCAGAGATCTTTCCTTATATCTGTTTCTTCTCAATTGCCTTCAGCTCAAAATAATCAATATGCCAAGTTGGCATATTTCTCAGTGACATATTCTGTACCTGTCACTGAGAAGTCACTCACCTGCTGAGGCAGGGACAGCTATGTGGGTGCAGCTTCAGGGAATCTATGCATCTGTCAGTTTCTCTGTCACATGAATAATCTCATTCTTCTCTAATCCCAGACTCCTCAGGGAGGAGTTAAGAGTGGCCAATGTCTTCTTTTTTCTGGTTGGGAAGATGTACTATTGGGCAGCAGAGGCCTAAAGGGGTGTCTCTCATTCCCTTTTCCCAGCTCTCAGCAGGACCTGGGACCTGGACAGCTTCCCCAGTGTGCTGCCAAAGGAGGAGGCACTGAGAGCCCAGGCTCTAGGTTGTGGATCATCGGGGCTGGACACAGGCATGGAGCCTTTCCTGAGATGCAGGTAGGATCCTGGCTCTGTGACCAAGGTCCTCTTCACCTCGGGGAGTGCTATGGGCCACCATCTCCTCCAACCTCTCATTGTCACCTCCAAGGATTCTGAGCTGTCCAATTGTCCCATCTTTCAACACTGCTTGTTACCTACACACTGTATATGATTCTGGGGCCCAGAAATCAAATACAGGGGTGGAGAAAATATGAGTAGAAGTGATACTTTGTGGAAAAAGAAATTAGGATTAAAGAATACTGGCCAAGAAAATCACTCATTAAGTGTTCACTGATTGTCCGTGTAGGGGAGGAAACCATTTTTCTCTGTCTTTCGAGACTCTTCTAGCTGGACTAAAAATTAAATTGACATGAGACAGATTAACAGGAAAAAATCAAATTTGATTTTGTATGTATGGGGAATCCACACAGACCTCAGATTCTAAAGTCAGTCGGACAAAATGAAGTATGTCCTGAACTAAGAAGAAGGTAAGAAATTCAATTCACAGGAAGATGAAAAAGAGTAAATTTTCAGTCAATAAATGTTTACTGGGTCATCCAGAAACAATAGGACATAGAGAGGACTTTGATTAAACAGGCCTTGCGCCATTCCTCCTTGTCTACCACACCTGGCTCATATTACAATGTAGTTTTCTATGGTGACATCACTCTTCCTGGAGCAGGTCCTCTATCTAAATTATTTTAGGTGGTTGTGGAAGAAGGTCAAGTCCTTTGAGCCTTGACTATTTTAAACTTGGCATAATCTGCATGCCAACATGGCCTGTCTTGGCAGGGGAGGGGTGCTGTCCCAGGCCCCTGCATCTATAATATTCACAAGGGCAAGAGGTAGGATCCTGTGAAGGTTTAAAAGAATCTTCAAAACAATGGTAAAAAATCCCAAATGAAAGTAATAATAGTTATGATCACATAATAATATAAAACAGGAGTCTAGGTAAAAATTTACCATCAACAGATACTTTTGCTCTATGAGGAAAATGTGTAAATGACCCTAAGAGAAAGGAAATACAGACATATAAAATTATATGAAAAATGTTCAAAGAATCAGAGAAATAGTAGTTAAACTAGATGCCCTTTTTTATCTACCTAAAACATTTAACTAAAGTATTAATTATTTGTGAGAATGAAGGAGGTAGTCACTCCCACATCCAGCTGGTTGAGGATAAAAAGTTAAAACCTTCCTGGAAAACAATCCATCAATTTGTGTCAAAAGTCTCTAAACTATTCATTCCATTTGACTCAATATCTCCAATCCTAAGAATCTCTCTAAGGGGAAAAATTTTTAGATACAGGCAAATATGAGGAAACAAGGACATTGAAATTTTTTATATCAGGGTTATAGAGCTCTGGTAGAGCTCTGTCATAAAATATTAATGTCTTTATAAAAAATAAGGTTATAGAGAATTTTCAATGTTATTAAGGTAAAAGATGAAGATAGAGAATTGCACATGTAACATGATTTCATATGTGGGTATATATGTTGTTAAAAAGACACATGAGAAACAGAGAGCCATAAAAGCAGGAGTAAAACTATCTTGGGGGAAGAGAGAGAGAGAGAGAGAAACTGAAATGTGAAGGCCTGAAATGTAAGAATGATTACTGAGTATCAGTCAGCTATTGCTGCAGGACCAACAACACAAATTCCCAGCAGTGGATGTCTGGGAACTCAGCTGATCTGGTCTGGGCCCACCCCTCAGTTCTGGGTCTTGACAAGGTGTCTGCATTTCACTTGAGTTCCAGCTCCAGACTGGGCTTGCTTGAGACTCTGGGAGCAACTGTGCATCCAAAGTCTCTCCTCCTCCTCCCAGAGCCAGCAGGCTAGTCTGGACATGTCCTTCTTAAGGTGTTGGCAGAATCACAAAAGGCCTCTTGAGTCCCAGGCTCAAAACTAGCATCAGGTGACTTCTGCCTATCTTAATGGCCAAAGGAAGTCAGATGGTGGAGCTCAGCTTAAAGCTGTGAGAAAAAAGCCCACCCACTGTGGGAGGGCACTGCAGAAGAGCATGGCAATGGGCCCAGGCCCAAAGGGTGGGAAGAAGTAGAGCCTTTGATGCAGTCCACCTCAGTGGGTTATCATGATATTAATGTACTTGTTTATATTATTTAAATTCATTTAATGTTTGTTTATTTCTGAGAGAGAGAGAGACAGAACACAAGTTGGGGAGGGGCACAGAGAGAGGGGGAGACACAGAATCCAAAGTAGGCTCCCGGCTTCAAGCTGTCAGCATAGAGCCCTACACAGGGCATGAACCCATGAACCATGAGATCATGACCTGAGCCGAAGTTGGACTCTGAACAGAATGAGCCACCTAGGTGCCCCTGTTTATATATTTAAATGTTATATTTACTAATATTCTACACTGAACCAGGAATACCTTTTACAATGAGAAAAACAGAAGTTGGGAGATTTTTTTGTTCTGGCATAGTTTTGTCTTTTATTTCCTTTTTTACTATTTAAATTCAAGTTAGTTAACATATAGTGCATTAATATTAGTTTTAGGAGAACTCAATGATTCATCACTTACATATAACACCCAGTGCTTGTCCCAAAAAATGCCCTCCTTAATGCCCATCACTCATTTAGCCCAACCCCCTACAAAACTCCCTTCCAGCAACCCTTGGTTTGTTCTCTGTATTTAAGAGTCTCTTTTGGTTTGCTTCCCTCTCTGCTTTTACCTTATTTTTCCTTCCCCTCCCCTATGTTCATCTGTTGTGTTTTGTAATTCCACATTTGAGTGAAATCATATATTTGTCTTTCTCTGACGGACTTATTTCACTTGGCATAATATACTCTAGTTCCATCCACATTGTTGTAAATGGCGAGATTTCATTCTTTTTGATTGCTGAGTGATATTCCATTGTATAGATATAGATATAGATGATATAGATAGATACATATAGATATAGATATAGATAGATATGCTACATCTTCTTTATCCATTCATCAGTAAATGGACATTCAAGATCTTTCCATAATTTGGCTATTGTTGATAGTGCTACTATAAACACTGGGGTACATGTGCCCCTTCGAATCTGTATTTTTGCATCCTTTGGGCAAATACCTACTAGTGCAATTGCTGGGTTATAGGGTAGGTCTATTTTTAACTTTTTGAGGAAACTCCATACTGTTTTCCAGAGTGGCTTCACCAGTTTTTATTCCTACCTATGGTGCAAAAGTATTCCCCTTTTTCCACATCCTTGCCAACATCGGTTGTTTCCTGAATTGTTAATTTTAGCCATTCGGGCAGGTGTGAGGTGGTATCTCATCGTGGTTTTGATTTGTATTTCCCTGATGATGAGTGATGTTGAGCATCTTTTCATGTGTCTGTTTACCATCTGGATGTCCTCTTTGGAAAAGTGTCTATTCATGTCTTCTGCCCATTTCTTCACTGAATTGTTTTTGGGGTGTTGAGTTTAATAAATTCTTATAGATTTTGGATACTAACCCTTTATCCAATATGTCATTTGCAAATATATTTTTCATTTCTTTTTAATCAAAAGATACTAGGGCTGATCTGGTAGTAATGGGAATGGAAGTGGGAAAGAAGCCTATGAAACATAGTGTTTTGTACATAGAGTATTCTCAGAAACTCCAGTTTCTGCTCAGTCACTTAAAACAAGTGACACCAGTATAGAGGCATAGCAAGTCCTATAGATTTCACTGGAACTCTTTCCTCATACAACCCAGGGTGGGGACAGACTGGGAAATTCTTTCTACTGAAGGACATTTTTTTCCTTTCCTTATTCATAAAGTGAAATAGCAGATATTGTGACAGTCCATGACACAATGGAACTATATGACATGGGAAACCATTGGTATCCAAAATGGATAGTAATGATTTTACCCTTCATCCCCATGCACTAAGCCATGATTAATTTTCTCTCTGCCAAATACACAAGGAGTCACATCAGTGCCCAAGAGGGGCAGACAGAAAGCGTGTCTTCCTGTGAGCCAGGCCTGTGCTGGTCACTTTCACACACCAATGTGAACCTCACAGCAGCCTTCTGAGACAGACCTACTGATTCTTCAGCTGTGGAAACTGAACCTCAGAGAGGAAGGTAACTTTGTTCAAGAGAGTTTCAAATCCCATTCTGTCCACATCAGAAACTTGTGCTTTTTCTTCTGTATCATCCTGCCTGACCTGATTCAGAAACATAAATGAGGCAAGGGAAGGAGATCCCCATCTTTTTCAACCAGCATTTACAGGAGACAGGCTGAGTGTGAGGGAGCTGGGGATCCACAGACATGACAAACCCAAACCTCTGCTCAAGGAACTGACAGTTCAGGAAGGCATTTTGGTGTCCAATAAGATGGCAAAATGAACACACAATACAGACACTTGCAAAGATGTATAGGCAAAAAGCACCATCTATTAATGGATTTTGCTAGGCAACATTTGAAATTTCTACCTCTGTATTTCTTCATTTCTCCTTTATGTTTGCTATTTTCCTCTCATTTACGTATCCCAATCTGACTTCCAGGTGATTTCCTCACAAGTTTCTACAAACTCACTACAACTGGGTCTACATGTAAGCTATCAATCACATTGTCATTCTCTTCATATGTTTTCATTTCTAGATTTACTTTTCTCTAAAATGTTCCTGTGCTTGCTTTATGGATTCTATTCTTTATTTTGTCTTCCTTCACATGCTTATATGACAGTCATGCTCAGATCTCACTGTTATGTCCAGTTTCTTGGGGGTATTTTTATCAGGTCAGCTGTTTCTTGTGCCATTGGATTACCTACCTTTTCACCGACAAGTCATCTTCAGGGGAATTTTCCTCTGTGCAGGCCTCCCTGTGGGGCAACTGTGATTATCTCCACTTACATACTATGGGGTTTGTTTCTTCCAGTTCTCTTGGGAGGTTAGCTTCCTAATATCTCTCTCTCTCACTCTCGCTCTCACTCTCGCTCTCTTTCTCTCTCATCTGGCATCCTAATAGTGTGCTTAGCCTTATGGTTCCAATTTCTTCACATCAAACCTGTTCCAACCTCAACCTTGAGCAACAAGCCTGCTCAGCAATGGGCCATGTGCTCAGGTAAGATGCAGGTTTTTAATTTAAATTCAGAGAATAGAGAGCCACTTCCTGAGTCCAGACTTTACTCAGGCAACCGGGGACCAGTTCCCACCATAAATTGCCTCATGACCTCAACACCTCCCCAAAGTAGTAGTTAACACCTTAGTATTTAAGGAAAAATACCCACATGCTACATGCAGGAAGGTAAAAGGGGAAGATAACAGGCTGACCAAGTCAGATCTCTTTTTGTTTTTATTATTTTGTTTTTTTAAGTTTATTAATTTATTTATTTGGGGGATGGGGAGGGAGAGCATGAGCAGGGGAGGGGCAGAGACAGAGGGAGAGAGAGAATCCCAAGAAGGCTCTGTGCTGTCAGCACAGAGCCCAGTGTGGGCCTTGATCCCACAAATCATGAGATTATGACAGACCTGAAATCAAGAGTCTGATGCTTACTGACTGAACCACCCAGGCACCCTAAAGTCAATTCTCCTTTTGAAGACATTTTCCACAATTCATTCTTTCAACAATTTTCTTTAACATCTCATTGGCTAAAATGTGGTCATATGGTAATCTCAATCTACAGGAGAGGCTGAAATAAACTGTTTTTCAGCAGGGCTGACACTTCCAACAAATTGAATTCTATTAATAAGAAAGTCTCTGCCATCATAGCTGAGACTAGCACACAGGGCTCATGGTGTACTACTGTCTCTAGCTCCCACATTACCTCCATTTCTCCAGCATCATCTCCTTCCACTTTTCCAAACAAATTCCATGCTACCACCAAACTTAACTTTTACTACTTCCCGTAGCAACCTTCCCACAGCAATCCACAGGTAATACTCTTCACTCATAATTCTTTTTTTTAGGTCCACCATTCTTGATAGACTTTAAACCCCATGGAAGTTCACTAATGGAATTATAGGACTAATCATTGGCTTGACACATACTGAATGATCAATAAAGTTTTCTTTACTTATGAGTGGATGGTCAGATGGACGGACTGACTGATGGATGAATGTTCCCTGTTCTCTCTCATACCTCTGTTTTCATACATGCTATTCCCTTTGCCTAGCATGCCCTTCTTCCATTGTCTACCGAGCTAATTCCTGTTAATTGATAACATTTAGCTGAAATGTGCCCACTTTAGCAAAGTTCTCCCTGGTCATACCTACCTGGATTAGGCATCCTGCTTTTTGCTCCTGTGCCCCCCCCCCAACCATAGCCTTTATTATACTGGATTGTACACCTGAGTTTACTTGCCTTTACCTTTGAGCTCTTTGAGAGCAGACCTGACTTCGACTCTGTATGTCTGGTGCTAATCCCATTGCCTGTCATGGAACAGGAGCTCAATTGATTTGCAATGAAATTAGAATAAAAGTGAAAGTAATGAAGACCATGTGTCTCTTGTTTCTAGAGGAAGATATGGCAGGTGGAAAACACTTTGGATGAGCTGAATGAGGAGTTCTTCCAGCTCACTGCTCAAGCCCTAGAACTTCAGAAGGAAAAGGACAAACCAGGTCAACTTCCCCCAAGTGAAGGCAATACATTTGTGGTAAGCCCAGCAGACTACCACCTCAGCTCCTGAGATGTCCACAGATAGCTGGGTCTCATGTGTGGGGCCCACAGAGTCACAGGACCCCATAGAAAGGGTTGGGACCAGAAAGTCCACCAACCAAAGTTTGGTTTTGCCTGTTTGGTTTGGCACATACTTCTAGAGACAGGGAGGACCTCTCAATCAGCTTGGGCTTGCAGGTCTCTAAGTAAATTGATGGCTCGGAAAGACTGAGGAAGAGTATGAAAAGGGAGCAATAAAAATAGCTGTTTAGATGTAGCTAACTAGTAGTACATGGTTCTGGAACAAGGACTTTTCCATGATATTCATCTGTCATCTAGATTGCTCCCCCATCCTAATTTGAGTCTCTGGAGGTATCAACATAGGAAAGGTTGGAGGGGACAAAGACAAGAGACAAAAGGGAATAATTGAGTTGTATCTGCACTGAGCTCAATACAACTCTATTCACCAAAGCAGACAGCCAGTTTGTGGGCCTTAGTTTGCTACTTGGAGATTTTTAATACTGTATTAAAATATCATTTCATTTGACCTGAGTTTTTTGGCATACTCTTAACTTTTGCACCAAGCCAATGCCTCCTTCATCTCACCCTAATCCCTGCCTTGCTGAATTGTTAAACACAGGCAATGCCCTGGGTGGTGGAGAAGCAGGCAGAGATACCTCCTCTCACCAGGTTTCCCAGAGTGGGCATCTGTGCCAGAATACCTGTGTTTCTGGGGAATCCCCTCTTCACAACCAGAAAGGTCTCTGGGAGTGAGGGCCCAGGAGGGCCTTCTCTGAGATTTTCCAAAAAAAAAAAGTCACACTAACCTGTGGGGTCTCTAAGCAGCCACCCTCTACTTCAGATAGGAAGCTGTGACATCAGTTCCACTGTAGAAGGACCATGCATAGGGACCTATCACTGACTGCATTAAGGGGCTCAAATGATTTGGTGAGGATAAAGTAACATGGTAACTTCAAGCTTGAAAAGACATTATATAAATATCTCTAGTATTAAGGAAGGAAAAACAGGATGAGCTGAGGGGCTATAAAATACAGCAATATTTAATTATTCAATAATTATTCCAAATTATTAACCATGATGATTGTGTAATGATATAATTAGTTGTTGTGCCTTAATGTAGCAACATAAACTCAGGGAACACTATGTCTTTGTTAGTTAATTGTGAAGTCAGTCCCTGGAGGTAAGTTGTTGGCATCTTCCCAAGTATTTGGATGGGTGCTAATGCCTAGAGACTGTCAGAGGGACGAGAGTCATGCCAAGATCATGTGGTGGATACAGGAAAGAGTGAACTTAGAACTCTCAGGGGCCACATTTCCTTTTCCTGTTTGTGTCCTTTTCAGGAGGTTCCCAGCATCTTCCCTTATGTGTGGCAAGAAGACAGACCCTACCCACCAGAGGTAGGTGACCCAGATGGAGAGAATCTGGGGACCTGGGCCCTGAATAGAGAGGAGGCCCTGATGTTGGGAGTGAGAAGAGCCCACCTGGCTCAGAGGATTGAAGACCTGGAGTGGGAGCTGTCCCTGCTCCTCCAGGTGGCAGATGGCAGTGTGTATACAGGAGGGAGCAGGCCCAGCTTGGGGAGATGCTGAGTCACACAGGATGCTGCAGTGGCCATCTGTAGGAGTGCCTTCTCCACGGAGAACACAACTGGGTTAATCCATTCACTCCTGGTAGGAAGGAGTGGGTGTCTCAGGGACCAACGGGGCCTGGAACATGTGCTCAGTTTTATGACATGCTTCTTTTGGGCAACACCCAAATTTCTTTCAGAGCCTGGACCTTGGCTTGTGCTGATTTCTGTCTGCTATCCTTTGGAGTGAGGGAAAATAAAGTCATACAAGTCAAGAAAATTGACATGTGCTCCCATCACTGAGTCTGTCCTCACTCTCTTTTCAGGGCACTGGCCACTGGGTGCTGTGGTCCAGGTTGAATGCCCCCAACAGCTTCACTGGGGCACCTGGCTTCAAGGGTGAGAAGCACTTGGGGTGGGGACCATGAGACCCTACGTGCAGCCACAGCACAGACCTTCCACACTGATCCTCCATCACTGCCAACTCCTCATGGGGATCCCCAGTGGGCCACATTCCCTGCCTGGTTCTGGTGACCTCCTGGAGCACGTAGAGACAGGCAAGGATGTGCTGGTCATCCCCAGCCTCCTGTGCCACATGGAGGGCCTCAGGTCCAGAGAGAACTGTGCTTCCCCAGGACAGCCTATGCTTTCTGCCCTCTGTGCCTTTGCACAAGCAGCTCTCTTTCCAGAAGGTCCCTCCTACTTCCATCTGCTCACTCTAGGTGAAGCTCTCTGCACCCTCCAAGACCTGCCCCAGAGGTCTCTGGCTCAATGCAGCTCTTCCCAAACCCCCTTCCCAATCTTTCTCTCCTTTGAATCCTCATGTTGTCTTATCTCTACCATTTGTCATATTCCCGCTTGAGTCATTTGTGCCATGATTTAGCCTCCCTCCTAGATTTTAAGTTCCTTAAAGGCAAATTATGTCACACACACACACACACACACACACACGTACACGTACAAACACCACTCACACACTGCTTTGCACGTACTGGGTACCAGGTGAGCCAGGAATGCTTCATGAGTGTAACTGACTATACAGACAAAGCCACTGACCCTGAAGTCACATGGTCATGTCAGGGCCACATGAGCATAAGGGAAACTGAACACCACTAGGACAGAGGGAGGCACTCAGAGGCAAAGAAGTGGAGGTCCAGGACTGGAGCCCTTGGGATAGGTTCAAGGAGGGGCTAGGACTTGAACCAAGAGTTCAGTGGTGTTAAACATGGATGGTGGGTAAGGGACCTGGAAAAGGGAGAGCATTTCTGCCTGGTTAGGTGGCTGGTAAAGAGAGACATGAGAGAGAAGAACATGCAAGGTATTGACCAAATGGAATCAGGACAGAATCCATTTAGGAAGAGGAAATCACAGGGGGAAGTAGAAGTGGAAAGAATGTCCTAAGCCCCAGGAATTCCTGACTCCTGGGGCTTCCCTCCCTATCCTTAGCTAGTGCTCTTTGGCCCATAGCCATGCTGTGGCTGAGGCTGCCAGGCCAGACCGTAGAACTGTGTCTAGCCATTTCTGACAGCCAGTGTTGCGTTGAGTTCCTTAGCCCTCACAGCAGCTATATGGAGACATACCTGGACTCCAATATCTTGTCAACTTGATCAAATGTGTTCAGGGTCTGCCTCTCCATGGACCTGTGTTCCAGGCAGGGAACCCAGGTGTCCCAAGCAGATGTTCACACAGGACCTGGAGAAGCAGACCTTCCTCTGCTGTTCACTGGGTCTGTCAAGGTGGCCATGCACTATTGTGCCGCAAACTCTTCAGGAGGGAGCTTTTTCAGGTGACTATCCCCTCACCAAGAGCTGCCATTGTCATAAAGGATGTAAGTATCCAAGTCTCTTTTGTCTGTGAGATCCTACTGTTCAGAGCTCCAGGCCACCGGGGAGAGACAAGCTGCCCCAAGAGCCAAAGTCCCCTATTAAGTCCTCACTAGAGCATGGGATGAGAGGAGGTGCTTTGCTGACTGCCAGCTGGTTTCTGCTTTTCTGGCTGGTTCCAAAATATTCATCCCATTCTCTACAGAGGTGAGTGACTGCTGTCCCTTTTAGTAGCAGTAAGTCCCTGGGCTAGAAGGAAGGTCACTCCCCACTTCAGATTAAAAAAGTAAAAACATCAATGATACTGTATTTCCACTGCCTCCTGGGCCTCCAGGCAGCTATCCATGTATTCAAACTGCTTCCCAATGTGGCCTCTGGGATTGATATTGCTGACCCCAAGACATCTAAAAATCCCTTTTCTGCCACCATCAAACACCAAAACACAGCCCAAATGTATGTCTGTCTGACAGTATTCATTGATGGATACATGGTTCAGGGTGGACCAAGGCTCAAAACTGAGATGTGAGCCATGTGTTTATGGGAGGGTTCCTGCCCATGGGTCTGTATGATCAGCCTGGAAAAAGTCAACATGAGGGTTCATTCACTGGAGTGGGAAGCCTATCTACCCAGATCCGAGCCCAGAGCCACCTCTTGTGGATGCCAAATCAACCATCTGAATAGCCAAACATTTAGTTACCCTTTATTCACAGAAGGGGATCCAGCTGGAGAGAGACTGGGTCCAGGCTTTTACAGTGCTGCCAGGAGAGAAGCACAACCCTTGAGGAAGTCAGCATGAGGTGGGTTCAGTGCATCTCAAACTGCACATGCAGGAAAATTGCCAGGAATCTTGTTAAAAAGCAGCTTCTGATTCTAGGGGGCAGAGTATCTACATTTCTAACAAGCTCCAGGAGAAACACCTGGTCCGTGGACCTCATTTTGAGTCCAAGGTCATAGGCCCTGGTAAGGAAAGTTGATACTATTTTAAGGTCATTAACCAGGAGAATAATATGATCTGGGGGCACACAGTGTTAGGAGGGACAAGTTCCTAAATTCTGTTTTTTCCTGAGTTTGAGCTGCTACTAGACACACAAATCCACTATAAGCTGTACATATGAGACTGGAGCTCGGGTGACATGGGGAGCTGCGTACAGGAGAGCCTCCAAAGGACACCGATGTCCTGGAGTCCACACAGCACTCAGCAGCCTGCACAGCGCTCAGCCCTTGGCAGCCGCACCCAAAGTAGTCGTCCCCACGTCCCTTCAAAAGTACTTTCTAAATGCCAACGCCTGGGTGAAGAGCTTTAAATACATAATCTCATTTCATCCTCACAGGAATCATATTGCTTAGGTGACACCACTTCCGTTCTACAGATGAGGAAATGGGGGGCAGAGAAACAGTGACCTATACGAACTACTAAGTGGCAGTGTTCATATTCAGACCCTGGTCTATCTGACAACAAAACCCATGTTCTAACCACCAGGTTACAGTGCTGCCTAACCATGGGGTCACCAGTGAAGGTTCCGAAATCTACAGGTGGTTAGGAATGAACAACCAAGCACATACCCACAGAGTCCAAAATGAAGGACATCTTTGACTTGCCTGGGCCAGTGACATCTAATGCAAGCTCCTCAGAATCATATGGGTCTTTTAGTTTAAGTATAATTTAACTATTCTAAAACAAAAAATTAAGAAAATACATTCAAAGATACACCATCAACATACAAATCATTGGAAACCACCAAAGTCTCAACTGCCAGGTTAGTGTGTTTTCATGTGGACTACAAAAATAAATCTGTCCTCTTAATTTTAAAATATCTTGAAACTGCAAACCAAGACATTTTTTAATTTTTGGAATTTGTAACAGCTGATCTGTATGAATCCAGATTTTTCTCAATAATATGTCATAGAATAACATAGATAAGTGAGACACTGGCTTGCATATATGTCAGCAAAAGCCATACATGTGTCCCATTATAATGCCTGCATTTGTCAGAAAAGACTCATTGTTGGCAAACCATAAGAGACTCTTAAATACAGAGAATAAACTGAGGGCTGCTGGAGGGATTTGGGGTGTGGGGTGGGCTAAATGGGTGATGGGCATTAGGGAGGGCACTTGGGAGGAGCACTGGGTGTTCTATGTAAGTGATGAATCACTAAATTCTACTACTGAAACCATTATTACACTATATGTTAGCTAACTTGGATTTAAATTTAAAAAGAAAAAGAAAAAAATTTCACTAAATAACAAAAAAATAAAATACATAGAAAATTTAAAAAAACAGACTTTAGAAACAAAAAATAAATAAATAAAGGAGAGGAATACTCACCCCCCCCAAAAAACAAAGAGCCTCGTTTATTTCATTGACCAATTTACAATTAGTTAATTTATTCAATTTGAATCTATAAAATAACTTATACTACTAAAAGGTGGCCCTTCTTTTTTTTCCTACTTCATATACTGCCTCATAAGATTTTTTTGGCAGTAAGGTTCCCCTACTGAAAGAGAGCCTCTGTGCGCCTGTGGGTCACTTCCGAGCCCCGAGGCTCTGGGGCCCAGCTCCGACAGAGTAACCCACCCTGCCCCTCGGCGGGGAAGCCCTGGGCCTCAGCCATCTTTATTAAACAAGGCCTGTCATTTCCCTGGTGTGGGCAGCATCTGGGGAAAACACCTCAGCATTTCCGTGTTGGACAGTACTACCAGCCTGGTCTGTCCCTACCACAGGAGAGGGACGGTCCCCACAACTCAGTAGAGCCTCAGGTCATTGCCCTGCCCCATCCCGCCCTGCATTCCTTCCTTCCAATGTTGTTGACAGCAATAATGCTTAGCACTGACACGCCAAGGACAGTCCAGCCTCCCAGGCTGCCCCCACTTTCCCAAGCACTGCTAGTGCATCAGTAAGGGCAGAGAACAGATGCAAGAACATGCTCTCCACCACCTTCTTAATCACTGCAAAGCACTCTCAACTCAGGAGGAGGGGTAGTCAACTCCGGCAGCTCCCGCAGGTGACTTTATCCTAAGGGAGAAGACCTGCTACAGTAGAGAGAAGCTCGAAGGGCCTGTGTTGCACAAGACAATTGTGCTCCAACATGGGCCATGCACAAATGAGCAAGACACCTGCATGTCAGGACAGCTAAAGCTGGGACCAAATGAAAACTCCCCACAGAGACTGAGAACTGTAGATCCCTCTTCTTCAGCAAAGTGCGCAGCCTGGGATGGTGCCCTGCTCATGGCCAGTTCTGCCACCTCCTGGTAAAGCAACAATGAGCAAGCTACTTAAACTCAGTACTTCAGGTTCCCTGGCAGAAAAACAAGGGTGATGGCAGCACTTGCTACGCAGGTTGCTGCAGGAATTAGAAATACTATGCATTAAGCTTTTGATGTGTGGCTGGCATTCTATAGATGGCAAGCTTGTTGGTTTATCTTTTTCACTCCGAGGAGGTTCTGAGATTGTGGTGTAGGGG